AATAAGACTGTATGGTATCTTTGTAAATGTTTTATCATCTGTTAAAAATATAGAGTGCGCATTCCTGTGTGTGTGTGTGTGTGTGTGTACTTTACCTTGTAGGACATCATTCCCATCTCAGACATCTTGTTCTGAGCCGCCTTCCCATCAGTCTGGGAAGCAGACTTGGATTTCTCTCCAGACATGATGACTGAGAAGAGAAGTTGTTTTTTTGTCATGTCTTTTTACGTCTTAAAAGCCCGTGTTAACCCCACCTTACATGGAGAAACATTTTAACAACCTCCCCACAATATCTCAAAATAATATAACAGGTAAATTGGTATTATTCATTTAAAATCTGAGGAATGAAGGTGTTAAACTCAAATTTAAATGAATGTTAATGGAATAATAATAATTCACATAGCCACCAAATTGCACAATAGAAGTCCTCCATTCAGCAAAAAACAAAAAACCCTCTGCTACCTCCCTCTGCTACCTCCCCACCCCTACAGTCCCCTTTAAAGCTGAATTCAGTTCTAGCTCCACCACCCAAATTACCATCTTTCTGCTTTACACTGATATTCATAATATAAAACATCAAACTTTTTCCATCAACCAATCATCAAAATAAGAAACGGTAAGTCCTCTGTACAAAAGAAAAAGTGAAGGAAATGGAGAACTACATGTGCATATTATATGATAGTTACATATAAACAGATTTTTTTTAAATAAAATGTTCAGAAGCCTGGAACTTTTTCCCTTTTTGAGCCTGAAGTTAAAAATGGAGCAGTCATGCAATTTAAGTTATCTATTTGTGGAACATTTGATTTATATTTTAAGTTCCACTTGCCTGAATTTAACCATTACTTTTAGCTTAATATATACTCAGAATAAACTCTAATGTTTATTCTAAATATAAGAGACATAAACAGACCACAGCACATTTATTTGCAGCAATTGGATTTACGCAAAATAAATTCCCACTTCACCAGCAATGTTCAACTTTCATATCTTGAGTTCCAGCTACAATAGACTTTTCTCATTATTTGGTTTTACATCAGGTTATTCCTGCTGTCTTGTCTACCTCCCTCTTTTCTTTTCTTTTCTCATTCTGTAAGATGTTTGTCCACTGTCTTACCTGTGGCAGTGTGTGCGTAAAGGAGTAGACTCAGGGCTGAGACTGGTGGTCTGTGTGAGAGTGTGCCAGGCCCCTCGCCGCTTTTATATGCTGGCGCCCAGAGAGAGGGGATTATAGACACAGAAACAAACTCGCTGAGCTCACAGCCCCCACAGAATAGAAATACCCCCATCATCAAAGAGAGAGAGAGAGATGCAGAGAGAGAGGGACAGGGATCGTGGTGCAGACAGAGAGGCAGAGACATATAGGCTGAAAGAAGAGAAGAGTATGAGGGAGCAAATGTAAAAAAAAATGAAAATTAATTTAAATGAAAAAAAAAATAATCATGACATGAATCCATGAACTAAAAAGAGAGTGCAGTCCATATAAAGTGATACTTTACTATTTCTGCAGTGAGCTGTTACATACAAAGTCCTTTTTTAAGCCCTAACCCCAATAAAGCTTCATAATAATGATTGGCTGACCAGGTTCCCATTTAAGAGCCTGTCACAGAATTATTCGCTTGTATTCCCTTCAGTGCTGTAATCAGGAGGCGCTGGGACAAATAATAACAGCAAAAGCAATAAGCTGTGAGAAGCAATAACCTCTCTGTTCCACCTTTGGGCGAGCGAAGAGGTTCAGGAGTGTGCATGGACAGTAATCTGAATCTCTCTCCTCATCACAGCGGGAGAAAGTTATTAAATGAAACGGCCTCTTTTCTTGCGTGGGTGGATGAAATATTGTGGTGGGCGTCAGCTGCAAGAGGAAAGTCCATGAGAAGTCTAGTCCAAAGTGCACACAAGGGAACAAGCAAATTGATCAAGTGTAGCTCCAAACATGGCTGCACAGGCAAGGTCAGCGTCAGGGTTGTTGGACATGAGTGCTGCGGCGGTTGACCAGATGCGATCCTGAGGTGAAACTATTTATGTCTTGGATTCAGTGATCTGCATCATTAATCCTGCGATTTGAATTTCCTCAAACCCTCGCGTGTCAGCAAGAGGTCACAGGAGGACGGAGCGAAGGGGTGAATCATACACTTGCCTCTGAGTGACTGTAGGACGTCCTCAGTCACTGCTGAGAGTCACACGAATGGAGAAAAAACAGGGCAAGAGTCCGACTGCAAGGGGAAGTTGAGTGGGCACTCTGGGGCACATCTCTTCTTTAAGCATCCTTGTCTCCCTGTTCTCCGTCCTCTAGTCAAAACTTGAGGACAGAGTGAGGTCCTTCACTTTGGACTGGATTCAGTGACTGGATTCAGTCAAGGTCCACCATCCAAAAGGACATTCAAGCTGATAAAAGCTGAGCAGATGAAGAAAAAGGGAGTGAGGATATACAAGTGCATCCTTTGCGGAAGTCTTTCATCAGAATGTGCGACTTTTCTTCTTTCCTAAATCACATCACAGATTATAGAAGTTACAATACATACCGTCAACACAATATATGGATCCTTTTGTCAGATAATGATTTAATTTTCTGTAACCTTTATTTAGTTTCTTGAGTTACATGATTACTTTTTCTATAGAAATCGTGCCACAGTGGCAGCATTAAGTAGCGTACATTATAATGTTGTGGCCTAAGAACACACAGATGATATAAAACATTCACAAAGACAAAAGAATAGGCACTGAAAGACATGAAAGAAATCCGTGCATATTTAAAACAATTAAATTTCTTAAAACAGTGTCATGATTTAAGAATCTATAAGCAGCTAACGTCCTCTGACACTGGTCACACATGTATAAGATGTTATGAAGTCACATATGTAATATTTTCTATTCACCATATATGAAAGTAATAAACCTGGATCAGTTTATTTTGTTTTTATAATGTCTTTATAATACACAGTGTCTTTATAATACACAGTGTAGGACTATACATCTTCCACACTCACATCTGGCACAGCTGGAAACATGACAGGACCACAGCTTCATAATTTTATATTCTGGTCCTTCTGTTTTTTGTAGGTGTGGGTGAGTGTTTTTGGAAAGGTCAATCCAAGCTACAAAATATCAGGCACCTATATACAAGCAGACCATACAGGGCTAGCAGGAGTAATAAGAAACTGCAGCTGATTTGATGGGGAACCATGAAAGAGAGCCAACAAGAGTCAGTGGCGTTGTGCTGCTCAAGAAGCTCAGTGACATCACACTATTTGAGCAAAGCCAAGGTTGAGGAGTGACACAACAAATCATTACGCCTTTTTTAAGGTGACACTTGAAACTGAACAAAGATGATGACATGTTTTGACCCTTCGTGCATCTCATTCTTTCATCTCTCCCTGACGCAGAGTGGTTGTTTTAGAGCAGTGACTTTTGAAATTCTGCTATTTATTCTGTTATGGGGGTCCTGACTTTGGTGTACTTTGACGTGGCCACTACTTTTGTGTGTTTGTGCAGATCTGTGAGCGCGTCTGCCTGTGTGACTGGGAACATGTTAAGGGGAACTCCTCATGTGCTCTCTATGAAATGTCAAGGACCAAGGACCAGATGAGGTTAGGGGATGTTGCTGCAGCAACTGCGGCCCATTGTCCCGAGTGATGGCACAGGGGGTTTACATTAAAACAACAGCGCAAAAAGGTTTTGTGGATGTGACACAGATGCAGTCACAAAGTTTGTTCTTTTTTCAGTGTTTCTGTTTGTTTTCTTGCATTTTTGTACAAAAGAAATTCTGCTGAACCACTTTTATAGCTATTTTTTTCATTTTAGGAGAAGTATTACCATGTTGTTATAATTCATTCATATTCATCATCACCATTCATTTAATTCCTCTGTCCCAATTTCCTCGACTTTTAGAGGCCACCACTGAAACAGGCTCCCCGGATGGCTCTCCAAATCCTGCTCATTATTTGCCTATAGCCCCAGCCATTGTTGCCCTATACGATGGCACTGCTGACCTATACGAATAGACCAACAACAGGCCCACATTCCCCACCCTCACCTCTGTGCCTGCGCTGTATATGATCTGCTGAGTCGACAGGCCACATAGGGTTACAAAGAGAGAGAGAGAGACCGCGAGAGAGAGCTGTGGGGCAGGCTCGATGGCGCGCGCGCACAAGTCGGTTTTCACGCACAAACACGAGCACAGAGGGGCTCACGGGAGGTCACGCTCACCTGCGTCAAGTTGGTAACAGTCAGAGGAATAGAGGAACTCGTCTTCCCTCTGCCTTCAAAATAAGAGCCATATTAGTTGTGAAGTGAGCTTTGAAGTAGGGCTGAAAGTATTGATTATTTTCATTCTTGATCAACTGCAGGGCAATCCATCAACAAGAATACTTGGCTTCCATGCCCACCCAACTTTTGGCACATTTCACTGTATTAATAACAATCTGCCGATTATTTTCTCGATTATTTAGATAATTATTAGTTTAATCTATGAAATGAATTCCAAGCGACTCAGTTTATGATATTATAAATCAATAACAAGAAACATGCTGGAACCACAGGGTGTTTAATATTCTGCTTAAAAATTACTTAATTAATCGATTACCAAATTGATGCCGTTTCTGTTGTTGTCTAGCCTAATCAATTAGCCAAATTCATTAAGAAAAGCCTTGCAGCAGCATATATAATGAATAGTTTAACAATTATGAATTATGTAAAGGCCTGTGGTAAGATATGATGAAATTTTCAGTGTTATAATTTCAACATTAATAACATAGTAAAATTTAATAACTTAAAATCCTATTTATGGATTTATGATCCATTTTTCATTTCAAACGGTCATTACAACACACTGTGCAAGTGTTATGCTGTTCAAGAGAGCTTCATTTTGAAGACTCTAACCGGAAGTGTCAGGCTGTATTTGGGGGAGCTTCACACTTGACAAATTTGCCTCCTTCACATCATTAGCGTGGAGGGGCGCCACGCGCACACGCGCGAGCACGAGGTTCCCGCGTGGACGCCGGTATAAAACAGAAGCGCCAGGTTCAGACAAAAGTCTACGTAAAGAGGATTTGGTGTATGAGGAACGCAAAGAGAGCGGAGAGCATCCAGGTAAGCAGGAGCGGGAAAATGCAGAACTTTCCCACGAGATGGACTTATTACCGGGTCAAATGGATGTGTGGCTTCTTCTAACCCTGACCCTTTAGTATAGTGGCTGCATGATATGTTTAATGAGAAATTCTTTACTCATATGGAGTTAAATATTGTTACTTACAACAAATGTAAACAGGTTCAATTTAATTAATTAATATTTTTTGTTGTTGTTATCCAATAAATAAAAATATGCTAATACTCATAGGCTACATTTGTATGTTTAAACCGATCTGATCCATGTGCTTTGTTTTTCTTCTTTTCTATTCCAATTCAGAAATGAATAGAATCACTAAAACCCACATGACCTCACCCATGTACTTCCCTAGCATGGGCACAGCTCCTTTCTTTAAGGTGAATTAACACACACACACACACTCACACTCATAAACACAGATATATACACACACATACAGGCCCTCATGCCTTCCCCTTGTCTTCTCCTCTGTGCAGGTGACTGTGTTTGAGCAGGAGCATTTCCAGGGAAAGTGTATGGAGTTCACCTACGAATGCTGCAACATCTACGACTGCGGCCTGGACAACATCCGCTCCATCCGAGTGGAGAGTGGAGCGTGAGTCACACAGCCTGTACGCCTGCAAGTCTCTGTGGACAGCTGACTGACTCTGTGTGTGTGTGTGTGTGTGCGTGTGTGTGTGCGTGTGTTTATGTAAGTCTGTGTCTGCGAGCTGGAGGTAGAGAGATGATGATAGAGGAAGTAGTAGTAGTCCAGGCTCCCACTAAAGCTCGGCTGAGGTCACCCTGTAACTACGTGCAGGGTGCACCCAGCATGAGCAGCAGAGAGGAGGTCGTCTTCTTTTTGCCACAGCTTCCTTTTTTCAGATGACAAGTAATTTACACTGTTTTACTTTGTGGAGGAGATTCAAAGCTGGCATACGTGCCTCAGCAGTGGATCATTTAAAGCCACATGATATTTATCCCTATGATAAAAATGTGTGAAACTCTAACCTCTTCTCTGAACTATTTAGCTTGTTAAAAATATTGAATATTGAAAACTGTACCTAATATTATACTATATACTATCAGTACTGTTACTATCTATTTGTATGGTCAAGTTTTCACACTGGTAACTAAGTTCTAAGGACTTGTTGGACCAGTTTATAAAATATGATGCATATTATAGATTAAACTACCCAACAGTATATGAAGCAGATAAAAGTAGCGACACGTCGACCACCAATAAAATACATATCACTTACATATTTAAAAATTTACCAGGGACCGGGACAATGCACATTCATCAACGTTGTGGTTTTCACGTCACTGTAAATGCAGAAACACAGAAATGTATCATGTGAAATAAGTAAAGCTGTTCTGACATTTTGCAGGTTCTTCTGTGTTCATGTAAGACCCTGTCGGTCCCAGTAAGAACTGATTGACAAAATATGTTTTCAGGGCTTTTAACGTGATTTAAGGTGCAAAGAAATGCTTAAACTTCATGACACAGGAAGCAACAGTCTGTCACCAGTTGTCCAAATGCATATATGTCTCAAAACAAAGTATATGTGCAATATTTTCTTTTTTGTGTGCAAATATGATGGAGACAAGGCTAATGAAGTAGGTAGAAGGTTAGCAGTAGTTTTTTCTCACATACTACGCCTTTCCTTTTGTTCAGTGACTTGAAAATGCTCCAACAAAGTGCATGGCCAGAAGTAAGATTTGATCATTCTACAGATCCTCCTGTACTCGTGCCTACATTTAGTACAGAGCTATTGAAAATGTTTCACAGTCCTCACTAACTGACTTGGGGTAATGGTGGTGTGACTGGAAAGAGCCAGTGATTTAACAATTCATAGGAAATTCTGTTAAGAGTAATTTGCACTTTGAACTGGAAATCAAAACATTAAAAAAGTAGCTAAAAGTCATACCTAAGCTAAAAGTAACTGCAGTCAGTCACTACAACTAACAACAACAGTCATGTCTACCCAAAATTCCCTCCTTCAAGCTCTGAATCAGCCAAAAGCAGGCCCATCGCTGTTGGTGTCCAACGTCACAAAAGCTTCAGTGTATTGAAGCACGCATTAGGGCAATATAATAGGACATTTACCCTGGACAATGTTATGTTGAACCAATATCAGATATGCTGATTGGAATTCTACTTTACTACTATCAAATAAAAGCCTTAAATTAGTTGCAGAAGGTTACATTTTTACCTTCAATGAAGGTTATGCCACACTTAGAGGTGTTCTTCAGCTTTCTCATCAGACATTTCTAAAACCTCCTTTCTTAGTTGGAAAGAGTGCAGTCTTTTTCTGGCATTTATTCTACATTCTGAGTGTAAAGGGGGTGAGAACTGATGATCACTGAGAGCACAATGCTATTATTTGGAGACTAAAGAGGAAAATCCAACCAAACTCTTTTGTAGAAACTGAGTGGAAAGATGGCAAGCCACAAAGGTTACAAGGCTATGCTTATAACCAAAACTATGCCAAATGCACTCCACCTGCACCAAGTATTCACTCTTCTTCTCTGTGCTTGCTCTTGTTTGCCTTAATAGACCACTCGGCCCGTCTAATGTCTCCTGTCACCTGTCTGTTTTATGTTCAGACTGATTTCAAACAACACTGTTCACCATTTTTACTCCCCCATCTGATTATTTCACATTTTCCGCTCATGTGTCCAGTTGGGTTGGTTTCGAGCACCATGACTTCCAGGGCCAGCAGTTCATCCTGGAGAGGGGCGAGTACCCTAACTGGGAAGCCTACTGCGGCGCCCTGTCCTACCACATTGAGCGCTTCATGTCCTTTCGCCCCATCTACTGTGCTGTGAGTACCTGCAGAGGGGGGGGGGGGCTAAAATGAGAAGTGAGAGTGAAAGAGCAAGAAAGGGCAGATGGAAGTGAGAAGATAGTAAGTAACAGATGGAGGGAGTGATCAGCAGAGTAAGCCAGACAGCGAGTGAGTGAAGCAGCTCAAAAATAGAACTGAGACAACTCAGTGCCGAATGTCTTCACGCCCTGTACGTCTTTCTGACACATCTAACGCTCACTTTAACACCAACTCTCTCTCGCACCCCCTCCACAGTCTCACCAGAGCAGCCGTATGATGATCTTTGAGAGGGAGAACTTCATGGGCCGCTGCACCGAGCTGTGCGACGACTACCCATCCCTGCAGGCCATGGGCTGGTTCAGGCCTGAGGTGGGCTCCATGCACGTGCAGTGTGGAGCGTAAGTCGGCCCTTCATCTCAACGCGTTCTAGTTCAAGTTGAATGATAACTCTTTAGCATAAAAAAAAAAGGTTTTCAAGAGGGCTTTCACGAGAAAAAAACACAAGCATGAGAAAAACACATCAAACAACCAAAGAATTAAACAGGATAAAGTAAACTAAGAGACTTCCATAATGTAGTTATATCACCTGACTACTCTTAAGGTGGCTCTACTCAGTGTGTCTTTACTGATTTTCTATCTTTTTGGGCATGATCTGTTTTTTTAATTAACTCCCTTCTACCTCTAGATTTTCCTAAAACGCAGAATTCTTGCTTAAATGTCCCTCTTGAGCCCGAACCATCGGATTTCTGTATGTAAAGCGACTCGTAAAAACTGACTGAGTTTCCCTCCTCCTGCCTCTGTCTTTCTTCAGCTTTGTGTGCTATGAGTACCCGGGCTACAGAGGCCAGCAGTACATCATGGAGTGTGAAAGACACAGCGGAGACTACCAGCACTGGAAGAACTGGGGGTCCCACTGCCAGACTCCAAAGATCCAGTCCATCAGACGCATCAGGCACTGAGAAGGAACAGATCGGGACTAAATGGCTCAGGCTAACACCTGGGCGCTGTGCTTTAGGGGCCTGACTATGAGGCAAAAGCCTGAACTTTAGGTTTGGTTTAAGGCTTCATTTGTCAGGACCGCAACTACAACACAAACCATCAGTGACGTAGCAGCTACCTCTTTATCCCAGCTCATATTCTTATTTCTGTTAACTCATTTTTAGTTTTAAAATGAAATAAAGTTCAGATTGAGAACCTGAGAAGTCTCTCCTGTGAGTGTATAAAGTTATTGTGGGTTTTTATGGGCTAGAATTCTGCCGTAATAATATGCACTCCATCAGCACTTCATATGTGTGCAAATGTGCTGTGTGCAGAGTACATTAACTGCAGTACGAAAGTTCAATTTTGATGTACTGATGTCACAAACTTTTGAGTATTTCCTATCTGGTGAATCTTGACTCTTTTAGTTCAGGGCTCATGTTTATCAAGCATCTCAGAATCTCTGCAGAAAGTTAAACTAGCACAAGGATATAATGTTTTAAATGCAAAACACATAGACTAAAAAATTATGGCGCTTAATTACCCATTAGCATCATCTTAAGCACTTGTAATAACCTAATATATTTCAAGTGAATTCATCAGTAATTTAACACTTTAAAGTGATGGTTGTTACATAAATTGTATTTCTGATAGTTGAGTTCTTTTGTATCTTGAAAACAACTTTTACAACTTCATTAAAGTATTTACTCTTACATAAGTAAAATACATAAGCAGTTTATAATGTTGTATTCTACATAAATAAATGTGTGGGTACATAATTGTTCTCTGTCACAATAGCGGCAATGAAACATTTTAGTCTTGTTATTTTTTGCATTGGTCGTACTTTGACTTTTTTTTTTTAGTTGTCACTACTAGCTTTGATCTCACACCACCCACCAGTCAAGATAAACACGGTCACATACGGCAGCAGTGAACTTCCAACACAACCTTTAGTTAAATGTACAGGTTTAATCAAGAGAGACATACAAAGTGAATTCCTGTCTATACAGCAAAAAAAAAGAGTGGCAGACTAAGTCAGTAACATGACATTACATAAGTTATCAAGGATAAAGAAAATCAAGTAGCTTTGGCATCAGTTCATTTTTTTTTTTTAATCTAAGAGCTAAATATCAGCTAGCGAATGTGGATGTTATTGCTCCTCCCAAAACAGGTTTAAACAGAAATCCCTACTGTGTTTATCTATCTGTAGGTGAACTAACCCAACCCTAATGTATTATGAGTACAGGACCTACAAAATTAAATGAACTTTTGACCATCAATATGATAGCCTGACAGCTGGCAGTCCTGACTGTAAACTGTTCATTGCTTTACTCTTAATTCTGCCTGTATCAAACCAAATAGAAAAAAGCATGGTGAAGCCTGCTTACTTTGAAGTGAACAAGACACAACTCTACAAACTATAAATGGTCAGTAAAACAAACTGCATGCCAGGAAATGAAGTGACAGTAAGAATAACATATTGGTTTTGTATATAGTGATGGCAGCCCAAAAGTCCCTCCCATCATCAAAGAGGTCATATTATGCTTTTAGGCTTTTCCTCTCTCCTTTATATCTTTTTTTTGTGCATGTAATAGGTTTGCAAAGTGAAAAAGCTCAAAGTCCAGCCCAAAAGGAGTTCCCATCTCCCAGAGAAAACACTGCTCTGAAAACAGCTCGTTTGTAGTCCAGCCTTTTCTTCGCTTTATGACCACGTCACCAAAAACACACCTCATAATGCTTGCTCTTGGTGGGAACTGTTGGGCTTCTGTAAATAGCATCATAGAGTACGGTCTAGACCTGCTCTTTTATGAAAAGCGCTGTGAGATAACTGTTGTTGTGATTTGGCGCTATATAAATAAAACTGAATTGAATTGAACTGAATAATGCTTGCCTAGGGCTAGTCACCGGTGGAAAAACACTCTGAGCTGCAGCACAGTGACAGGACGTCCGCCTGCTACCTCTCCTCTCCCTTCCAAACATTAGCTACTCTCCAGGCAGTCAGTGGACATAAAGTTGTTACTGTGATGTAGAGACAGAGCTCGGTTAAAACTTTATGGATGAAAGATACATAATTTACAAATTAATAACTCCCCACTCTTAAACTCTCACTCCAGTCCATGTTGCTAAGCTGGTAAGGGGAAGCCGTGATTACCGGCTTTTCAGGACCCGCCCTTCTCTGCTTCTGATTGGCTAGTAGTCCTTACCTAGCAACTGGGCATGTGCAATTCTCAACAAAGATTTTATACAAGTAAGATGCCTCACTCTGTAGCTAAAACGAAGCGTTCGACACACAGGGTGAAAAGAGGAACTGCACAATGTGCAGTATGACAAAAAAAAAAAAAAATAGACAAAAATTGAAATTGTTTTTTGAAAATGAAACCATGTAGACCTGTTCTGGTATGGTATGATTAATAGGCCTGTTTCACTGCAAACATTTTGACCCATCATCCTATCAGCGATGCCTCTGGTCTATTCAAGTGTCCCAGTCAGCCATGACAGTAGGTATGCACATTATCAGGAAACTGAAGAAGCTAAATGGAATTCAGTCACCATTTATTTTACAGTCATGGCCAAAAATATGGGCACCCCTGCATAGCATATCTGTCACATAATGCACTACTTCTCCCAGAAAACTGTCGCAATTACAAATTCTTTGGTATTCTCGTGTTTATTTATTTTGTTTGCATTGGAACAACACAACAAAAAGAAAAAAAAGCCAAATCTGAGACATTCCACACAGAACTCCAAAAGTGGACTGGACAAAATTATTGGCACCCTCAACTTAATATTTGGAAGCACACCCTTTTGAACAAATAAATGAATGACCTGATTTTTTGTTTGTTGTACAAGGTCTTGTATAAATAGTTACTTCTGTTTTTTAACCATGCTAGCGGCATGACTCTTTGAACTGCAATGTCAGTCAGTCCACCACTTTAGTCCAGACTGAAATATCTCAACATGTATTCAACATGTATTTGATAGATTGCCATGACATTTTGTACAGACATTCACGGTCCCCAGGCTTTGAATCCTAATGACTTTGGTGATTCTCTGACTTTTCTTTTCCCACCAGGAGGTTGACATTTGTAGTTTTGAGCCTGAACAACTATGAGATGGATTGCAACTAAATTTGATTCAGACATTCATGTCCACCTCAGAATACATTTTAATAACTTTGATGATACCCAGACTTTATGGTGTCATCTTGCACCATTAGGTAAACATTTTAATTTGTCAATTACTTTGGTTAATGATATGATATGGAATACTGCAATTCCCATCAGCCTCAGAGGTACTTTCTGTTTAGAGCTATTTAGCATATGATATCATCATACCACACTAAACAAGATGGAGAACATTAACATCATACTTGCTCAACATCAGCATGTTAACATTGTTACTGTGAGCATGTTAGCATACTATCATTAGCATACTAATAATGAATTTGACAGGACAGTGGATAGGGTGATGAAATGAGGGAGAGATAGGGGCCAACACGCAGGGCCACAGGCTTGAGTCGAACCCGGGCCATAGCAGTAAGGACTCAGCATGGGGCACGTGCTCTACCAACTGAGCTCACTGCACGCCCTTAATCTCATGATTAATTCATTTCTTAATCTGGTTAGCTCTTGTATTGTAGATTACTTTATTTAAAACAATTGAGACACTCCACATATTAATTATTATATCCCCAAAGACACTGTTTACCAAAATATCACACCTTATGGGCATGACTTATGACTGGTACCTGTTGCAGAAGCAAAAATATACATTCATATTAATTTCCAAACTCTGCAAAAACTGTGTTTAACTCCTCCTAAGAGATACATCAGACAACAGACACGTGTCTGAGATTCTGACAATAGCTCGAGTTAGCTTGGTTTCTCTAAGAAATGTGCCCAAGTGAAGGGGTTGGAGTTAAACAAAGACAGAAGAACAAATATAGTTAATCTATGCTTAACTATAACTAGATAAACTATGCTTATCCTGTAAGCATAGTCATCCTGTAACTAAACTCTCTAAAAATGACTCCATCAACCCACACTTCACCATGAGGATGAAAATCGATCAGTCTATTCAGATAAGAACTCTTTTTAACATGAAACCTGTTTATATGTCACAGAATATGTTTTATACTTGATGAAGCACAAAAGCAAGTGAAATTGCTCTCTATAATTATCGACACATTTGGTAAATAGGAGCCACAAACTGTGCAGCAAAAGAAATTGTTGTTTTGTATTCAGTTGTAGTTGTGTATTATCCAGTGTGTCCTACCTTTAAAGATTGCCATATTGATTGTTAAACAGCAACATAGTATTTTCAGTTTCGGTACCATTTCTTCTGGATCACTGTTGTGATTTTGGTTAAACAGATTATTGAAGCTTTTTAATTAAAGCCGATTCCAAAATGCTTTTGTTTAGTGCAGAATGTAAGAATTACATCCAAGTATAAATACATGTAAAAACACCAGTGGAGTTATGAACACAACAGCATCTCTCTCTTCCTCTTCTGTATCTGTCATCTGTCCGCCATCTCCCCTTATTTCTACCCATTTTATCATTTTATCCTTTCTCTCATCCTCACTCATGCTCCTCCCTCTCTCCCTCCTTCACATGGGCGTCCTCCCGTCTGAGACGGTGACCCTCTGCTCCTCTCCTCCTGGCTCCGGGTGAGTCAGCTCCCTGGGCCTCTGCGTCTTGGCCTCCTTCCTCTCTCTCCTCTGCTCCCATCTCCTCCACCACATGCTCTTCGTCCTCCTTCTCCCCCTCGTCCTCACTTCTCTCAGAGTCTGATTCATCTGAGTTGTCCTCTTCCAGATAGCGGTAGCCTTTGACCTGCGGAAACAAATGATACGTGTGTGATATTGATGAATGAGGAAAGAAAGACGAAAGAAGTTGCTCTCCATTAGGTGACAAGGGACAGCCTTTGTGGAGCCCGACACCCACTGGAAACATGTTTGACTTCCTGCCAAGAATATGGACACAGCTCTCACTCCGGTTATATAAGGAATGGATGGCTCGTAGCAACGGGCCCCACAAGACTTCATGGGGGACAAGCTTGCAAGCCTGCATGGGCTAACTCTCATAACCCCTTCTAGTAATCCTGCAATGGTAAAGAGCTGGTCTACTGTTCCAAGACCAGGAGGGTATCTGAATTTCTCCTCCAGGGTCTGAGGTTTGACCCAGAGCCTTATTTCCAGCACACTGGCATAAGCCAGCCAGGGAGGATGAGCAGTGTGAAAAATGGAAAGTGAAATTACACCTACTCCTTTCATTGAAATATCCAGAATCTATGAATATGCAAATGCATTTTATTTTAAAAGTTGTCTCCTACTTCACTGAAAAGTCCATTCTCAGTGTATCAGCACTTCAAGTGTCCCCATCACACTCGTGTAAGTTTCATAATGGGCCATGACTGGCATGCAAATACTTTTCCCCCTCAGCATATAAATGTAAAAATCAGCCTTCTAGTGTCAAACACTGCGCACACAACTTTCTGCATGGTGAAGGGCAAACATCTAAATGATGTAACAATGATGTAAAGCAAAATGCATTTCTTGAGTGGAGAGGGGCTTCTTAAGATTTGATGGCATATCAGCTAAATACCCACACCAGAACACCAGTAAAGGTTATATAAAACACCCAGGATTTATACATCTAACAAAGAGGTAATTAAATGGGGCTGCCTGTTCATTCAAGCTGCTCGCTCGGTGTTGTTTTGGCTTCCTAATAGAAAATAGACAACAATGCTCATTTCTGAAAGTGCAATAATGCTGAAACAAATAAAACATAACGGCACATGTGCAGATTGATTCTGGTTGTTTCTTTCCATCACGTGGACAACAATATTTATAGATTTACTTCAATAGAAACAATATTCCTAGTTGCAATGTGTAAACTACACTAGAACAGATTCTTCTCGGGCTGTGTGATTGGTTACCTTGTGCCGTGGCCGAGGGATGCGAGGCAACCTGAAAGGCAATCTCACGGCCAGCCGACGCTCCATCACCCAATAACAGTAGCAGGCCAGCAATAAAGTGGCCAACAGGATGGAGAGTTTGGCCTGACGGAGAGGGACAAAAATGGGTGAAGAAAGGAAAAAGTAGGCGAATACAATGGTGAGTCTTTTCTTAGAGGTGCTATACTTCAGGCAGACACACACACATACCCTCATTGGCATGTTGGACCAGAGGTACACTATGAAGATGGCGATGGCCTGCCACCAGTGATAGATGGTGTAGACAAAGTCCAGACGTTCTTTATCCTCAGCGTACAGCATCCCGAGCAGAACTTACACACACAGAGAGAGAGGAGTTCAGGCTGACACACTCAGTTATTGTAAAGTACATACAAACACCTCGAAGTGCAGATGTTACTCACTGCTGACGCCAGTCTTGTTCAGGGCGGTGCCGAGTCCCCACAGTGCAGAGATCACCAACAGAGGGCCCAGATAATGGAGATTGTTAGCAGGTGGAGACCACGCCAGAAGAACCACCAGCAGCACCACATGCACAGCAGCGCCCCCCACCAAACACAGCCAGCGAGGGAAGCGTAAGAGGCAAAGGGAGAGGGAGGAAAAGACGGAGGCGGAGAGGCCATAGACGACTATAAGGAGCCACAGTTTGTCCAGGCCCACAACGCAGACGCCATAGGACTGTGGGGGGAGGAGAAGACAGAAAAAAAGTTATGTTTTCTATATTCCCTGTGCTTATTATTATAAAGTGCCTGCTCCTTTAGGTGTCCTGTTTTATTGTTTGGCATTTCAAACTACTCAAAAACAGCAACGAAATGAAGCAACGCAAAAAAAAACCCTAACTAATCTAGAGTTCAAGAAACATTCATTGACAGTACCAAGGAGAATCCGGTGACAGCAAACAGCACTTCAAATCCGCTGTAGATGAAGAAGGGGCAGAGCAGCCGCAGGCGGTAGTCTCTCAGGTGTTTGAAAGGTAGCTGGAAGATGTTTCCCCAGCCGATACTGCGGAGGTCGATTTCTTCTGTCGGGCGGTAGGCAGCACCACACAGCACCAGGAACTGTGTGTAGCAGCAAACAGCACTTAATTTATTGTGAATAATTTTTATATTATATTATATATAAGGCAGTTCTTTCCAGCCCAGGACAAAACCGACTGCAAACACAGCACTGAAAAAGATGGGAATTCTTGAAAGCCTTTGTATCCGTCCTAAATGACTGAGAGCAGTTTTAACAGCAACAATCGATTTCTCAAGCCAGCCTTCTAAAGTGCTTTCAATTGTACAAAGTTGTGATTCTGAGTTTGTTTTCTGTGTTTTTTCTACCACTGTGATAGACTGCCCAATGCATGCTGGGATAGGTTCAAGCCCAGGGCGTGAATGAATGGGAGGTAATTTTACACTGGAACTTGCTTTGTGGATAATATGACTCAACTCAATCATTACCAAAAGTCTAACAAAATTAAGAAAGTGTTTTACCCCGTTTAAAGCTGTTCTGATCAATATTTTTATATTAACAGTTGATCAGAACAGTTGAGGTTGAAATGACAAACCCACAAATAATTATCACCCAACTCTGCAGTTTCCCTCAGCTCTAGTGAGCCTTTCAGTGTCTTCTAGCTAAATATTTTGGTTTTACAGCCTGTAACTTCACTGCAGCAGGCAGCTGTTTTCAATGAAAAAGCTTGAAGCAGACAATTAAAGTTAGCAACTAGCTGTTTAACATAGTGGAGCATTTAGCAGCTGGCGAGTCAGATATTTCACTCAGGAGTATGTGGAGACCAAAACAGAGCTAAAAGAAGATTGAATATATTATTTAATATTTGTCAGTTGCTCATTTTGCTTTACTGCTAACCAGCCTTGTTTGTGGTAAATCCCCTGAGACGGATGTCTACTCTACAGAAATAAGAGATCAATTGTACATAACCTATATTATAATTAGTAATGTACAAAACATAACGGTAAAAAGCCTAATTGTACTGTATTTAGAAAGATCTAACAATACACCGTTTCTCCTTCCTAGCGTTAAACTGTTTCTTGTTTGTTCTTTACACTCTAAAATACTATATAATTTATACTTTTTCTATTTTGTTGTATAGCGATATATATATATTGTAAATGTATGAAGGGATTAACAAAGAGCAAATTACAGTTTTACTTTTTTCACATTGTATAATGTGTGTATACAATTTAATGTTCCTCTGCAACAAAATTTTTGATTTTGTTTGCTACAAAATTCTACTACATAGTAAATGAGGATTGCTACCTCGCTTTCATTTCCCATTTCTTTCCCAAGAAACTCTCACAGCAGAGTAGAGCAATTCAGAACAGACACAAGACAAGACAATCAGATTAATACTAAACAAACAACAATCAGCTCAAACACACTCAGGCTAATTATAGGGACTCAGAGGCGTGTGTGCGCTTGTGTGTCGGGGAGTTTCAGTCTTACGATGATCATGGAAAAGAAGGCGAAGCCCATGAGGACACTCTCCACCTGGATGAGCAGCATGGAGCGAGGCAGGCTGGTCAGCACGGTGGTGTTGAAGCCGGGGATCACTCCACTGATATTTGCTCCTGGCAGAGGAAGAGAAAGGTTCAGCCATTAGAAAGGAGAAACAACTAACAGGCTTCAGTCCCGTGTCTTTAACACATGAGACTGCATCTCTGCTTACAGATATAACACAAAGCATTAAAAGTGCCAACAAGTGGCTAAAATGTACGCTAGAAAAAGCTGAATGGATGACTAACAGAGCAGCAGTTTAGAAGAAAACTAGGATGTTTGTGTGATTGAACTTCTGCATTTTGAAGAGGTCATCATGTGGTGGTGCGAACCACTGGAAGACAATCAGCAATGTAAGGCAGTGATCATTGTTTTTAACAGATTGATTAAAGGACTAAAAGAAATTGCAAACTACAAAATATTTATGAAAATTATTTTTTTAAATACAAACAATCAAGCACTGAAAGCTTCATTTGATGATTTTCAGCCATTTGTGAGCAGCAGAACGAGACGAAAAAATAAACTGTTATATTATCACCTTCTGAAGTTGTTCAGGTGTTAGCAAACATTTTTTTCAGATATCCAGCAGACACAAAGCAAATTAAAGTTTGGAGTCATATCTCTCTCCACCTGATCAATGAAAGTTATAATATAATATAATATATATATCTGGCCCCTTATTATTTAGAAGATTATGTGACAGGAACCACATAAATAAACATAAATGTATGCTTGAAATGGGTTGCATTATAGATATAAAATACTGTGTACATAGTTGGAGGATGCATAAGTTACTTTAGCTGCTGAATGTTCCGCTATGTTCACCAGCTAGTCGCTAACTTTGTCTGTTTGCTTTTGGGGGTTTTATCAGAGCAATAGCTTCTGCTTGTCCCGAAAACAACACTGATATGTTTGTGTAAAATTCAGTGACTCAAAAGATGCTAAAAGACTCAATACAGCTAAGGAGAACCCCAAATTAGCTTTCTTGCGAAGACCTGTTGGTAAGAGGATTTTGTTAACTTTGAGCACAATGGACTGAGTCTTTATTTACATTTACATTCACTCATTTGGCAGACGCTTTTTCCAAAGCAACTTACAAGCATCATTGCCAGTATTGTTGGCTTGTGCTTTATGTCTGTAATCATTCATTAGTGGATGTGAAGTGGCATGTGTCTTTACCGCAGGAGTGCACATTGCAGAGAGTGTGGTTGTTGTCATGCAGGTAGCGGTTGAGGATGAAACGCATGGGGAACTCAGCAAAGACAAAACTCAGCTGATGAGGAAGAGAGAAAAGACAGGGACTCAGGTTCATTTGTTTCTGCAGCTGTACAAACTTCTTTTCCAATATTAAACACTGCACACGACGTGCACTGAATTAAAAGGCTCACATGGAATATGATGAAGAAGACTGACTGAAAGATGATGATGTAGCTGTGGCACGCCCCCTTAGGAAGCTTCTTCTGCTCCTGCACATTTTCGTCCTTGTAGTTGACGTACTCGTAGTACTGCTGCGCCATCCTGCATGCGTTTATGTGAGACGCAGCACAAACACACAAAACAGCAAATACATTCCTTAAAAAAAAATTACTTATTAAGTACAATTAGGTGTGTGTTAATTTCAGGCCTGTGTTAGCGTGTATGCGTTCACCTGTGCATTTACTATATCTCAACACAATCACATGACTGACCCCTGCCTCAGTGTATGAGCTGCTTATACTGACTCGGTTGGCCACAAAGCTCTCATGTCCTCCCTCAACTTCACGCCCTCGCCACTAAGTGTTGAAAAGTGCACAGCAGGAGTGTAAGGATTCCTAAATTTCATGGTTTCATTTGATTTAAAACGTGCCTTGCATTTCCATTTTATGAGACACTGGACAGAAAAATACAAACTTTGACCTGAGGGGTTTGTGTTTCTGAGCCGCGTGGTATCACAAAAAACAAACAAACAATGCTTTACAAAATAACAACCAAAAAAAGTGCTGACAAAAAAAGACAACCACAGCACTGCACAGTTCAACAGAATATCCACAAAGTGCCTGGCAAACTGTTCTTTGTGCCTCGCAACGATTCATACAATACGAGGTATTGTTACTGTTACACCTCTTTGTGAACAGACAGGGAAAGCAGATAATGGTGCTTTTCTGGAGTTTCGTCCTCACTGACTGACAGAGAAAGTTAGCACAAACTTTAAAACTAAAATCTCTTGTGTCTTGTGAATATTTAAAGGACTATACTCAAAGTATTTGCTATCCCACTTGCTGCTGTTCAAATTATATATACTGTATATATATCACTCTTGTACACAGTTCTGACTTGTAAAAGAGATCATGATCTCAGAGAGACTGCCTATTTAAATAAGGGATTAAATAAACAATTTGGTAAATCTGTGCCCCATCAGAGGAGGTTTGAACCGTACACAACAGGCTGCAGTATATCATTTATATTGGACAGTTTTTGGCATCCAAAAAAGTCTTTTGCAACCCATTTAAACATTTATCAACATTAGAGCCCAACCAATCTACCAACATGGCCAATATCAACTGATTTTAGCATATCGGGGATTATATATATCGTTATCGGCCCACAAGTAACAATAAACTGAAGTACAAGAAAGTAATTTAGAAAGAGTGTCACAATGCAAGGCTGAGCAGGAAAAAGCTCCCAAAAGCTCCTGAATTCCTTTGTCAACTTGTTTATGCTAAGTAAAATGAATAACTGTTTGATATCCACCATGACTTGACAAAGGCCGTGAGGAGGGTCCTGCTTTATCACCTGATATTGAGGCCCTGTGTTTAAGAGTGTGTGGGAGGACGAGGGGGTTAAATGGGGGCCCAGCAGTTAATCAGAAGTTAATTAAATTAACAGTAAAGTGTCTCACTCAGTACATACCTTAGACACAGAATCACAGTTTTGAAATGATAAAATTTAAGGGATCTTATCGAAAACGTTTGATTTTGTTGTGAGTCTATGTCAAAAACGAAATTCAGCCAACACACAGCTTTCAGATATTTCTACATCAAGCATTTCTCAACAATCCACTATTAGTTGTTCATGTGACCAAAAAGGCTTTTGGCTACTTTCATTGGTGATGTGGGGATAAAAGCACCTAAATGATATGTTTGGAGATAGTTATGTCATTGATTTTCTTTGACTTTTAAAGCTTTGATGGTTATAACAAATGGCCAATATTAATTGTTATGCTGGAATTTCAGGATAAAGGTGGTTATAAAGTTGTCATTAGGAATTGCATTATAGATGGTTAGGTGTAGTGTAAGGAGAGAAGTGAAGTGAAGTAGAGCGACGATCTGAGGCGACGTTTATCCAACGATAAACGCTCGTCTGCCTTCAGTGCGCTCCGTGTGCTGTGACGTAATGTTATAGTGAAGATTCAGCCTCTTACGAAACATCTTCGCCCACCCACCCTTCCATGTTTCTCACCTAGTGATATAATTTCCCAAGGAGGCCCAGAGTGGCACAATGGCAACGCCGATAGCTACAGCTGATGGAACCAAGGTGTAGTAACGCTCCCAGTAATTGGTTGAGACAAAGAGTGCGTAGATTCCCGAAGCTAGGAACATCATCCACTTTGTACCTAGAAACCTGCCAGAGAGATCAATATAGAATATATATAGGCAGAGGAAGGACATTCAGATATAAAGAAAGGTTTTGTCATTTGTTTGTGTGTCTACCTGATAAGAATAGGGGTGTACAGCAGGCCTATGATGGGCGTGACGTTGATGCCCATCAGCATCTTGTGGTCAATGTCCTCCAGGCCAAGATTGCTGTACTTCACCTCACGGTAGGTCATATCATAATGGAGGATTAGCTGCATCTGTAGTAGGCCTGTAGCACACACACACACACACACACACACACACACACACACACCATTTACACATTTACACACACAAAAAACAAATTTAAAAGAACACATCAGAGTCTCTGCAACTCTGCCTGTCTGTGTTTCTTTGTCCATTTCAGTATCTTTCCTCCAGTTACACTCACCCATGTACACACTGTACACAACCATGGCTCCAACACTGGCTGCAAGAACGTTCTTGATGACTCCCAGCCTCTTCCTCCTGTAGTACTTCCTCTCCTCCTCCTCCTCGTTGTACTCAGCCTGTGGGCCCAGAAACTCCTCCATCTGAGAAAAGGGGGGTAAAGTTATGTGGCGGCAAAAGTGGCGGAATTTCATCACACTCAGGAGAAGTGTGTTATCTTTCACAGGGACTGCACTTATGGCAGGAAGCTCACCTGGCCCTGCATGTTGTCTTCCTGCCCCACATCCAGCAGTTCGTTTCTGCCACCAATAGGAGGTGCTACCAGATGATTAGCATCCCTGACCAAGTCTTCCTCATCAGATGCCTCCATCTAGTGACCAAAAGGCGAAGTACAATGGATTAATAGAGGGTTCTCTGCACCAGCAATCATCAACATGTTTTTCTCTTTTACACTCTCTTCGACTCTTGAACTACTAACATGGATTAATATGTTGTTTCTAATGCTGCTTTTTAGACACCTACATGCATACATGATCCCCAAGGGCCACCCATGATCACCAACCTTCTAAATTTGTTTATTTTTAAAGAATAATTTATGTAACTGGTTCAGGGAATTAAGCTGAATGAACTTGATTTATTCAGGGAAATACAAAAAATAAAATAATACAAGAGTTTGCTGTTGCTATATCGTTAACCTGACATCATTTCTTTGTTTTTAATGAATTAAATGAAACCTGGCTCCTTTTTCATTATTTACGTTTATTTTTTGCTATCACCTCTGTCTTCTTCTGGTCTGTAATGCTATGTAATCTGTTTTATCATAAAGTAGTTGTAGTAGTATCTGTGTCCTCTATTAAAACATCTGCGTTTCTGGATTAAGGATAACATCACATTTAAAGTTAAAAGTCGATATTCTACTGTGGGTAAGGTATTAATGGCAAACATAAGAAAATGACTTATTGCAGACACTGAATGAGTGAATTAGGAACATGCAACAGCTGTGTGCTGCAGGGTTTGTTCATCTTAATGTTTCCCCCAACCCATTTCCTCAGCCGATGGCAAAACGCACCTCCACGGCACACCATCTCCATGATCTAACAGTTTATTCCTTTATTTATACTTTTCAAAAATATGAAATAACATAGAAATGAGCCTTAGTTAGAAAAAACTAATACCCTCCCCTGCCCTCTCCCCTCACTTCTGCAAAAATATAAATAAAACAATAGCCCCTCCCGATACCTTCAGTCCCTAATCTGGTCAAAAATGGAGTTGTATTATTTTTAGTAGCCTAAAGCTCTTAAATTTCTCCGCTAATTTGAACTATTTATATATCCATCTTGTATATTTATTTAGTGTACATCGATGTTCTGCTTGTTTCTCTCGACGACCATAACTTACATTGTTATAAAAGAGGATATGAACCTCCGCATGTTCACCGGAATATATGAGAAACAAATGCATATAGTTTCCTTATACCGTACGCCTCTTTACATGCAGGCTCTGACTCTAAAGGGTAAATATGAAGCTTGAATTAATAACCTGTTTTTCTCACTGAGGCATTCAAGATATTCTAGTAGTAGTCGCTTTCCATTTTGTGTGTTCCCTTTTTCCCCCAGATTGGCCTTTCAAAGTCCCTTCAACAGTCCGAGCAAATGCGAATTGCTCTTTTTGATATTACTTTATTCTGTCTTGAGTTGACTTCTGTAACATTAGCATTTATCTAAAATCGTATCTTGAAGGCTACTAGTTGAAGTAACGTCAGCCTGACATTTCTGGTTTGTCTAAAAAATATAAAATAAAAATACTCACACTAAGACACATTGTATGAGGTTTTACTTCAAACACAGCCAAGTTAACACCACTCCCTTCTTTTTACGGACACCTTGACAAGCACTTACCATGTCTCCTCGCGGCACCACACTGAAAGGTTTGTACACCTGAGAGGCAGAAGCACTCAAACCAGCTCTGTCCCGGTAGCAGTATTTGTCAGTAGAGCTTTTACTTCCCCTTTCTAAAGAACAAGACTCAGGTATAAATAAAAAAATGTTTCGCGAAGGAAACGAAAGTTGCTCGTCTTCACTTCCTCACTGTCTTAAAGGAACAAGCACATATTTCAGAAAGGCTGCCGGCTCTCTGCAGGCAGCGTGTGGGACAGACAATAAAAACTTTAATATCCGTATTTTACAGCACTCACGATGCTAAGATAAAAAGGATGGTATTGTTTTATTAGATTCATTTATAACAAAACAAACAAACAAAAAAACCACTGCGCAGCTTCTCCAATATGCAGGGCAAAAGCTGGGTCACTGACACAGTGGTTAGCACAGGGAAGGAAAAAAAAAAAAAGAAGAGAAGTGTTTCACAGTCAATTACATGGTCCATGGACATACAGCACAACACAGTCGACACAAGCATGACAAATGAGCAAAGTTCAGTCCATCTTTAAAGCACGTCCATGTAACCAGAATGGCGGCTGGAAGTCTGTCCCAGTTGGTGTTACAGATAAAGCAAACACAGGACAGGTCCAGAGCAGAGAAAGAGTAAACTATGCATAGTGTCTTGTATAATACTGCCACCCATAATTAAATCAGTGCATGCCCTGATCCAAGTATTTGATTTTCCTACAGAACTGACACTACTTTGTCTGCATAACAGACACTTTCTACCTGAATGAAGGAGGGGGGGAAAAATAATAAATAAAAAAACCAAAACATATCACCCGAGTTCAAAGGGCGATTTGAGAACAAAGACTAAATGCAAATCATCCGTAGTGTTTGTTTTGACCTGCCCCAAGTACCAGACAGTTGGTACCACGAAGCTTCAACAACATTTTTGAGCTTCTGCAGTAGAAGCAGCACCCTTCTTGCACTCCAAGCAGCTAAAAACAATCACAAAGTATGACTTACAAATAATATTACATCCCAGGCCTTTCTCCTTTCCAGTCAATTTTCAGGTGACTTCTTGTAGGCCAGGCCGAGATGAATGTAGAACTAATCCAACCCATCCAGAGAGGCTGGTGGACCACTGTGAGCTGTTGACATCCTCATGCTCCACCAAGTGCTCTGGTGATTCCTCCAGCCCCATTCTGTGTCTCGTCCTCTGACTGCAGCAGAGGTCGTAGTCCCAGTGGACGCTCAACAGCACTCATTTGACTCATTTTTTTCTATTTCCCCAACAAAACCCACCCACTCATTAAAACACAAGTTTCTCATCTTAGAGAAACCAGATATGCCAACCCAACCCCATAACCATGTATTCCCCAACAATGCTCCACTTCGCTCCCTCCATCAGCGTCTCTATCCGCTCCCCACAGCTGCCTTCCTCATCACCTCCTCGTCCTGGACGGAGAGCTCTGTCAACTTGCGTCCCAGCCTCTCGTGGAGGTCCAGGTATTTGGCCACGCAGCGGTCCAGGCACACCGACTCGCCCTTCGTCAGCTCGGCCTCCTTGTAATGTGGAGGCACACACTTCCTGTGACAGGCGTTGGTCATTCTGGGAAACAAGGCCAGGGGAGAGTCGGGTTTAAAAAATATATATATATAAAGATCAATATTATTCCATGTGCAAACATATTTACCGGGCTATTTCAGTACGGCCGAGGGCCTTAACACCAACACTCACATATAGTCACTTGGTAAACTGTACAGCGTCTTCTGCTGGAACCAATAAGAGTAGAGTGTAACTTTGCTTGACTGAGTAAATTAATTAAATCATTCAATCAAGCAAAAATATTAATCAAGAAATTATTTCATATGTTCTTGATTAAACGATTAATCGTTTGGTCAAAACAGGTTAATGCGCTGCTTTGAGCCCGGTATATCAGTGCCCCACTTGGGATTCAAGTCGCACTATGGGGCGTTTGTCTGATGTTAATTTACTTTATTTCATTTGTTTATTTGACAGGGACAATGCTCATGGATAAGAAGAAAAGCACCAGGAATAGTTTCCTATTATTAGAGCTACTGAGTTAAAAACAATGTGCTATTTGGCTTTGTCAATAGACCTTTTTCTCAGCAGACATAGCAGAAAAGGCACAAGTGTAATTATTAACAACAATGGCTCTGTTCTATTCAAGTGTAACTGGACCTTTTTATATACAGTCTATGAACTGGACAAGCTAAAAGACTAATATACACAATACTATTATTATAAAATCATTAGTTTGTCATGGCAAAATGTCCATAGTGAGAAAGGCCTATCAGCTCTGCAAAACAGGAACAAACCATACATGTAGGTAATTCAACTGATACATGTTCATTAGTTATAAGAGTACCCTCAATCAATACGATGTGTGATCAGCTATGATGACAATCAAAGCAAGCCTGAGCTAAAATGAGGAGAAAAAGGTTCAGCGTGAATCTACTACTTCATTAAGACACATGTAATGTGATTAACGGGATCACGCTGCTGATTTACAGAATATTTCAATAGGCCTCTTCATGCTTGTTTACTGACACATAACGCACTCATCTATCAATAACGTTATTTAACACCTGTGGGTTTCTTGCTTTTACAAGTCAAACTATCTGATGTGATAAAAGCCAGTACACATGACTTCACCACAAGTGAACCTATGTATAGTGCAGTGTACAACTGTCCACATTCTTCAATGGGAGTTCCCCTCAACTCACTTCTTAACTTGAAACTCAAGTTTTACCACATCAACCCTTCACCGTTACTCTCTCCACTGAGTACAAACCCTAAACCTAAATTCACTTTGCGGTTACTATACGTGATACATTTTCTAAAAAAAGGGCTCTCTTATTGTATGCTTGTCTGTTTCATTAGTTTTTCTATCTGCAATAATAGCTGAAATGAAACCGTATGTGAGCATCCAGCCATAAAACGCTGTTATTAGAAGACAATTTTGAACAGATTATTAATGTCTAACTTTCTGTGTGGGTTATGTTCCTCCTGCTGAAGAGTAATAGAAGAAAAAAAAAGATGCATTAACCTGTTACCTATATTTTAATATTCTCCATCTTCTCCTTTTGAAAAGTGGTTAAACCCAATGTTGTGTCCCTAATATCAATATAGATCAAAATAACTCACTTTGGACTTGGCTAAATTTAGATATGTAGTAAATCAAGAGAGTTTTAACATTTAATTCATTAACTAACTAATCAAAAATTAGGCTATAGACTGATCACAACTGAAGCCATAAAGACAATTTTCACTGTGCTTATGTAATGTTATTGAAAAGCCTACATTAAGATGTAGTTTAACTAAATCAGACCTATTTAGTGTTCATGTAATTTAATACGTTAAGAATTTACAAACACACTTAACGTGACTTGCAGACAACGCTGTTTGTTCATGGTGGTGGAGCTGCAAGGTTTAATCATAAAATCAACTATTTTGATAACAGATTAATCGGTTTGAGTATTTTTTTAATTTTTTTTTTTAGCTTCTTAAACGTGAATATTTTCCGGTTCCTTTACCCCTGCATGACATTAAAATGAATATGTTTGTGTTGTGGATTGTGTGAATCAAGACATTTGACGACGTGATATTGAGCTTTGGGAAACAATGACCCACATTTTATAGACCGAACATCTATTCGATAAATTAAGCTCCAATGCAAATGATGTTGCCTGAAGCCCTAAGTTGGTGCCTTGAACAGTAGACTGCAGCTTTATGTCCACCGCAGTCTGTCGGCGCGACTGAGCATCAATGAAATCCTGTCACATGGAGCGAAGTAATTTCAGGTAACAGATGTAGCTGAGGATAAAGGAGGGACACTATAGCTACGTCTTGACTAAGCGTAGCTAACCTTTCGATTACCCTTAGTCACCGCTTAATGAGACTAGTTCACGACTGACCGAAAGGTAGCATAAACTACAGACAGCTAGCTGGTTAGCTTGTCTTGGCTTTACCGGTTGTACATGTCAGCCATCATTTCCACCTCCAGCTCCGCGGCCAGCTGCTGCGCCTTCATGGGATCCATGTCTGCGTTTCACTGCTGCTCACACCCGGGTTTAACCACACACACACACACACACACACACGCCGTCCTGGTGATCCTCTCCAGCGGACAAGAAACTACCCGCTGCTTCTTCTTTAACCTTCAAGTCCTCGAGAAAACACGTGTGTAACGTTTCCGCCCGCACTTCCGCTGTCAATAAAGTTGGTTTAAAACAGGGTGTCCTTGTCTTTGCCTTTCTGTACGTTTCCACAGATGTTGTCAGGAAAAAAAATAACACTTGACGTGCACGAAATAATGTTTTTTTTTAATAAACAACAATTATGTAACTTTACATAAAACCCCCGCTTTACAAATACAAGCTTAAATGAAGTATTTTCTACAATGGTTCTTACAGAGAGACAACGCCACTCAAGTGCTTTTACCTAAATTAGTCTTCACAACTCAAATTTCACTGAAAATGAAAAGAATTAATCAAATTGACAAATATAAATGGTAATGTATACAGCGAGAACTATCCCCCTATTAGTTTCAATGCTTTAGCATGTGATTAAATGGAAATGAAACATTCATTTCAACCTTTTATATAGAACCAATTGAAGGTCAAAACTAGCACGCAGCCAATGATTCTTGCAAGGACAAAGCTTATAATCGCCCGACACAGACTGATGCTGAAAACATAGAAAAACCTGTTATACATAGCTTCACAGCAAAATGGACTTAATCTGGCATCTCTATGAACATACATAAAACCAGAACAGAGAGAAGATTAGTGCTGAACTAGTCACACAACATAGTAAAAACTATGCACATGTACAAAAGGTTACTCTGCTTCATCTCCAGTCACATCAATCTCGTGCACATCCTCCTCCTCTTCTTCCTCTGGAGTTACTTCCATGTTGTCCAGGCTAATCTCACACTTGCTGGACTGAGGCACTTTGTCTGGGGAGTAAAGGAGAACGTCCACCTCCACTTCTTCTTCTTCTTCTTGATCGCAACCTGTGCTCTTGCTGAACCCAACAGCGTCGTCTGACAGAGGGGGACCAGTTATTTCAGGAGTCTGGGGGTCCAAGTTGGGGTCTGAAGGCCTTTGGTCTTCTTGAGGGAGCTCGGTGTCACAACACAGCCGACTGCTATCGCCGGTGTATGTCACTGTATCCGACACTCCTGCATCACAGGCCTCTGGTGCTAAACAACAGAAGTAAGATGGTTTATCCAGAGCAACTGGGACATTGTTTTTCAGAGAGACACATTGATTCTGTGTTTTGAAAGGACATTTTGTAAAAAAAAAGAAAAAGGCAATTCACCTGAACTGTACTGGAGTGGCAGATATCTGAAAGCCTCAGCAAATAAACAAAAAGTGTATCAAGGCAATAGTAGAAAATAACAGTACATTTACTCAAGCACTGTTAAGTTCTGAGGTACTGTTAATTTACTATAAATTACTATTTTATGCTACTTTATACTTGTACACTACATTTCAGAAGGAAATATAGGACCACTAAATTTATTTGAGAACTGGAGTTACAAGTTACTTCTCAGATTAACATTGTATATAAAACATGTGGTAAGGTTTTAAAATCGGATGCAATGATTAAACCAGTGACTATCAGCCTTTTTGGCGTGTGACCCCTTACAACAAACCAGTGTGTGGTTCAGGCTGCTTGTCATGCTCCAGATGCCTATGAGACGTTAGCAGTTCCACCAAAGAGACAGTTCCCCTCTAAAGATCTGAATGTTTAATTTAAATGAATGTTTTTAGACCAAATGGTTAAACTTATTCAAAGTTTCACCAAAAAATCTTAAAAAGTACTTTTTCTAGCTAAACAGATATAGTATAAGGTGGTTAAAACTAGCTCCACCTCGAGCAGCAGCAACAGTAAAATGCTGCTTACACATCGGTGAATCAGTATCAAGAATCAATTCATGTAATAAATAAATATATCAGTCACAGGGGACACGTCACTGCAGAACCACTAAATTACTGTCGATAATACTTTTGTACCTGTACTTATGTTTGATTATGTACATGTTTTTTAGCAAACTAACTAACCTACCCAAGGAAGTAGTAGACCAGCAACTCCTTTGTACTATAAGGGAAAATTGCAGTTTTTAATCAATGGAGTCTGGTGGCTCTGACAAGAGGAAAAAGGACAAAAAGGATTTTATTCTTTGACAACATTGTGGAAGGGATCCCTACAGAGAAAATCCTTTTTTTTAGACACTTGCAATACCACTCTGAGCCTGTCAGTGGCCAAAACAAGCACTTTAGTGGACGTACTTTGAAAACGATCTTAAAACCAGCCCTTCATTATTCATAATAACAATTTAAGCCTCTTGGGAGTTATTGCTGTCTGTCAGTGCCCTTGATGTTACCACCAGATGGCGCCAAAGTAGACACTTTGCTAATTTTACACACACTGTAGTGGCTTAAAGAAAATGGGTTGGTTATTTTTCAGCCTAACCAATAAATCAAATGATAAAGATTCAGTGGCGCAATAGTTTTTATATTTCTGTTTTAGTCTTACTGTACACTACGGGAACGAACATTTACCTTCTTCAGGGTTCTTCAATGGATGGTCCCTGTCACCTGCTACCTTGGCCCCCTCTTCTCCCAACACATCAAAGGAAAACACCGGATGGTACTGACCACCACACAAACTGTTCTCCTTACTCGTAGAGCCGTTTGTGTCATCTCGCTGTGATTTGCCGTACTCAGCTGGTGATTTGGTGAAAATCTGATTGTGATTTTTGTCAACCGTCACATTAAATATGGCGTGAGACTCTTCAATCCCGTCCCTGTTCCGAGGCCGAGTAAGGTTTATTTCTGTCTCCTTAGTTAATTCCTCTAAATCTCTTGCAGTTTCTTCTGTTTCCTTGTCCTGGCTTTCTTTTGCCTTCCTTGTTTTTGAGTTCTGGCATTTGATAAGCTTCTGAAACTCCTTCAGTGTGACCAGCCGTGGCCGTTTGAGTTTCCTCTCTGCTGAGATTATCTCACCATTATTGTCTGCCTTGGCCTCGCAAGTGCTTTCAACAATTATGGTCTTCTGTGGAATGACCTCCACTTCACTTCTATTCCTCTTCCGTTTTCTAGACCTCCTCTTTGTTTTTTCAGCCTCCTCCTCTTTTAGCAAATTGTTGTCAATTTGCTGCTCACTTTCCACACTGTTGCTCATCTTTTCAATGATAGCAGGAGAGCTGTCTGAAGGGCTTTTTGCAAGCTGAATTTTCCGCGGCCTTCCACGCCTCCGCCTGCAGTGTGTGACCTCCTGCTTATACACAATCTCAGCTGTACAGACCATGGGCTTTAAAACTGAAGAACCTTGTGGGCCCGTGTTACTCGGTGTCCCTTGACTTTTTTTCAAAAAGCCTCTGGTCCTGATCCGAGGCTGGTCAGAACCGAGATCGCCAGGCCCTCTGGTCTTCCTTCTCCGACGTTCTCTGATGGTTTGCGGTTCACTGGGTTTCCCTACAAGTTTGCTTGGCATGGCTGAAGAACCAGTGGCCATTTCCCTTTCCTTGGCCAGCACATTGTTGCTCGACAAACTGACTGAACAAACGCTCAGGTTGATTTGACCATCACCGACCTTCATATCTTTGCATGCCGAAAGAGAACTGGCAGCATCTTGTGGACGACTTGTACATGTTCTCTTTTTCTTTTTAGGCGCTGCGGCACTACCATGTTCACATTTTGAACTTCCCTTCACCTTCCTGGAGTTAGGTTTCAGTTCTGCCACATTTTGATTACAAGCAGATATGGTTCTTCCCTCATCTGCCTGGGTATTTTGTGGGTTCAACTCCTGACATTTCTGACCTTGCTTCGACCAACAGCTGCAGTTTGTATCCTGTGGTACAGACGTATGTTTATTTTCTCTGTTAGTGATGGCACTGAGAGGAAATTGTAGTGATCCGGGGATTTCTGTGAGCCAAGGTCGCCCATGTAGAGATGGCTGGATTTTACTGTTATGGTTCACTGAGTTGCTGAGGACAGGCTGATGTTTGGCTGCTGAGGCTGATGGCTCTAATGGAGAGAGACATCGAGGAAGCCGCAGATCACCTATGCAAGGTAAAGAAAAAGAATGCGGGGACTGTTCCTCATTTCCATTCGTCAGGGGTAAAAACTCTAGGCTGTTCGGAGGGTCTTGTGAAGACAGTTCCTGGCATGCTGGGTAATATAGTTTCTGCCCACTGGAGTAGCAAGCTGCAGGTATGTCTGATCTTGTAGTGGGAGCCTCAGGGTATGGACAAGTTTGACTTTCAGACAGAGGCATGCCCAGGTGGCTCGTTCCATCTCTTTGCCCCATGGGGGGCACAGTTGTGTGATACTGCGGAGAGCGATGAGGCCGTAGAGAAGAAAGGCTTGAGCAGCTGGGCTGGTTCCGAGCTGTAAAACAACAATGACTGCCATCAGATCACCTTGACTTAACAAAGCAGAAGTGGTTGGTGGGGGTTTTGGATAGTGGAGGACTGACAAGAGGAGAGGTATCAGTGTGGGCATTTGGATTAGAACTGCTGGTGTGATAAAATGAGAAGTACTCATTGAGAGGAGGACTGAGAGGAATTACACAGAAAGAAGGTCTGGGTTCTTTGTTTGCTTTAGTAACTGCTGCTAGGGACGGGCGATGTCTACAATGTAACATCGGGATGAACGATGACAGGGGCAGGCCGGGGGGTAGCGGTCGTTTTGTGTGCAGGTGTTCACTAGGTAAAAAACGTGGTAGTCTATTAAATTACCTAGTCTATTAATTAGTTACAAGTCGCGGTGGTTATTTTACAAGCACAGGCCAGGTAAAGCAACAGTGAACAGAGTGCAGGTATCATTTAATTTATTTGAAAGGCTACATCATTAACGAGCCGATATGCAGCTCACCTGCTGCCGTGATAACAGAATATGGGTGGAAAAATACGGAAAAAAAGAGTTCTGCATATTTTACGCGACTTTATAAAATATACTGCTGATGGAGAAAGTGGAGCAGACGGGGGAATTGAGGCGGGGCAAGCCGGTGTGTTTGCAGTGAGAAACCAGAAGTGTAGGTGTGTGTGAGTGTGCAGGGCGGTATAATGTAAACAATTTAGATTAGAACTAGAAATTTTATTAAATTATTTGTTAAAGATTTATGGCCCTGCGATGGACTGGCGACCTGTCCAGGGTGTAACCCCACCTTTCGCCCGGTACGCAGGATAAGCGGTTGACGATGGATGGATGGGTAAAATATTTATTTTATCTGCACTGCTCAATACCATATATATAAAATTTAAACAATTACTTAATTGAGTAAGCATTTTTCAAGCACAAATACCAAATATTCCCTTCTTCAGCTTCTCAACTGTGACGATTTTGGCAAATTACCTTCTGTTTTTTTTGTAACATATAGCCAAATTATTAGAGGTGTGACGAGATGCGATATTGGGTTCACGAGAACGAGACGAGATTTTAACACTATTTTTAAGAAATCAATGCCGAATTATATGAAACTTTTGAGCATTAAACGCTTAATTTCCTACATTCTGGTGAACCTTTCTGCACCAATTTCTGCGTTTTCTGCATCAGTTTATGGCGGAAATTTTTACCTATGTAAAGGAAAATACATAATTCAGGCAGCAGTTGACAAGTCAAAATATAAAACTATAACAGATGATAATGCAGTAAGGGTTTAGGCATTCGGTATTGCTTTCTGATATGTTTTCTCCTGTAGATCAACTTTTTTATTTAATATCATTCCTGCTGAGTCAACACACATGCAGACTCTTTCATTTCATAATATTTTTTAAAAGTCTACCTGCCCTGTACTCTGCTGTGCATTAGGTTATGGCTCTGCCCTTCAGACCGTCTGACATTCAACAGAGGTGGAAACCAAGGGATTTCTGGGTAATTTTCCCCAGCACTTAGGCCACCAGTAGCTCTGGATTCACATTGCCAATCTAATTAATAAACTGTGCAGCTGCTATTTCACAACAGGCCTATCCTGAATTGAACGTCGGAGGTGGAAACCGAATCTAACAGACAACTCTTGTGATCAGGCAGAAATCTCACCACAAATCCACACGCACGTCAGCTTCAGCAACGTCGATGAAGTGCAGCTCACAGTCCCAAACAGAGCAAGGTTGCGCTTTTTTTTCTGTTTATAGATGTTTATATTGCAAAACTCGACTAGTTACGTTGCCATCGGGTCACAAACTGCCAGGAAATCAGTGCGAGAGGGGAGGTTCACTTGATTACTTTGACTTGTTTTTCACTGTGACAAAATAAGCAATGTCATGATATGGACTTAGCCATGTTTCAAAACGCTGCTTGAATATACACAAGACGACGACTGTTTTTTTTTATAGCCCCATCTAAACAACAGGATAAAACAGCACAGATAAAAGGACAATATAGACAAAGGATACAGCCGTAAAGAATATGAGATTAACTTGCATGATTCAACACCCACCACATATACAAAGTTATATTAGCTTGTAATCTGTCTAAACATGTGATCCTTTCAGTTATTCCAATTAACACATAAAAAATGGCTATACAAAGAATACTTATGAAACAAATGCATCTAGATACCTGTATCTGATAATGAGTGATGAATTTGTGTCCCAAAATCCTGGTAATACACACACCCTGCTGCACTGACGGCAGCATGCATCCGACTCTGCGCCCGGTAATTCTCCGCAACTGGGACCTGGCAAACAGTTGGTGCTCCGGCGTGGCTCGGCTGAAGGTGAGCAGATTTCTTGCAGTCCCGGTCCAAGTTTGGCAGGATGTTGAGGCCCATCATGATATCCTCCAACAGCTTCTCTATCTGCTCGTCAGACTCCTCTACAGGGGCTGGGGGCTGAGGGAGTGGGACTGACTCGAGGCCATCGTTTTGGTTTGGGGTGAAGCAGTCACTGGAGAGAGGCTGGGAGTCAGAGGTGGTGTTGGGGTGAGGGGCTGGTTCTGGGGAGCTGGTGGTAGCAGGTTGAAGAATCTGCTTATGAACTGGGCCTGGCTGGATGGAGGAAGGAGGCGGCTCACCATTTGTAAGGTCTGTCTGTGGCCTTTTGTGGTTGGAGCCATCCTTTAGAAAGATGATGATCACATATTAAATTAAACTTGATAAAAGATTCAACTCAACCTATTAAATAAACACAGACCTTCTGTATAAACATCTATCATTTTATTTATTAGATAATGTCAACTTTTCTAACAATTATCAGCATGGCTGTGGTGTTGCGGATCTCAGGTGCAGTCTGAGAGCAGCGGCTTTCCCTCAGAAATCAATCACCCCCTGACTTCGTTCAAACGGACGGGGGTGAGGCCAGAAAGTGTTTGCTTTCAGACAGAATTCACCAACACATGATGAAAGATACCTGCTGTGCATCAAGCCCCAGGCAGCAGCTCAGGCTGTCTGGGGCCACTGTTTACCTATCGTTTGCATCATGCTCTGCCTTTCACTTCTCCCAGAAGAAGCGCCTGAGCCTGAACAACACACTGAAACTTCAGTCTGTCCACCTGCACCTCTCTCCACAGCGATGCCTCCTCTTCTTCTGCCTACTCTACTCTTCCCAGAATGTGGATCAACTCCACCAGGGCTTCCTCAAAGTAATGTCCGGTAGTCCTGCATCACCGTGTGCGCTGCAGAATAAATTTGCCTCTGGCGTTGTTCTTTCTCTGAAAACTTTACTTCTGCAATCTCGTTCCTCAACACTTGTTATCTTGTTCAGCGAGCACTGCATGAAAAAGCGAAGCCAGCACTGAGACAATAAGAGATAACTAACAGTCCTTGATTACTAAGGAAGAGAAATACAGTACTGCTAATTGGTCCAGCTTTGTGGCTGTGTTTTGAGTTACATAGCTTAAGAAAACGTTGTTAATCTACCCCCTATACACACAATGCATTTATATGAGCTACAGTCCCTTTAAATAATAAGTGATGAAATGACAACATAATACCTCTGCACTGCCCTGCGTCACCAAGACAAATGATTGGGTATTTATTGCACTTGCAGATTAGTTAATACAGGGTTTCCAGAGCGCAACCATTTCGCAGGACAATTTTTGTCAGCCTCATCTCCATCTGTGTGTGTGTTTTCCCCAAAACTCACTTGTGGAAGAAGGTGAGAGCCAATCAAAAGCAGAGGAAGTGCGGCAGATTTATACTCCTGCAGTGACTCTGCGTCGATACCTATGGTGCCGGCAATGCACGTAACCTCGCGCTTATACTTGTGCGTCGATGTCTGTGTTGCTCTGTGGGATTTCTATGTTCCACTGTGTAGACTTCTAACGGTGAGCCGGCTAACTTCCAGTTTAGCCTTCTGCTAACTTGGGGGTAAAATAATAATTGTGCGGCTCTTCTAGACTTCAAATCAACCGGATGGATAAAATTCTGAAAGTCATTTTGAGTGGGCTGTGATGGTTAAGAAAAAGTATCCACAGTTTTAAAGCCACTTATTTGGCCACTCATGAAACACAGAGCATTTCCTACGTACTTGTAGGAAATGCAATGCAACCGAGCAGACCAATCACAGTTATGGCGTTTACCTGTTTACATTCATTTAACTATCAACATGTTTGGGAAATGACAAAAGGTTAGAATATACTGTTATGGCACTAAAGGTGCTGTGAAAAGTTTGGGTGCACCTAAATTTCATGGTGGTGCAATTTATGCATTTTCTCTACACATCAAAACATCCAATTAAATTCGAGCGAGCTGGACAAGATACAAGTGTGTCAACATAAATTCATCATCATACCTGCTTCCGCGAGGTAAGAACTGACAACGTCTCATCTGTGTCTTTCACGCTCACAACCTCCCACACTTCTCCTTTAGTCCTCCTCCTCCTCAGCTTCACCTACACGGACAGAAGCAAACACACACACAGAGGATAAAAACCTGTACAGTCTGAAGACATCATGAACATGTTGCAGCTGAGACGTGTGACAATTCTGTCGGGAAACTAAATCCTCACATTTTGACAAAGTGACAAAGCCATTTTTACAGTCGCAGCTGCACTGAAGAGGAAATAGAGACGTGACTCAAAATTTTAAGGACCAGCGGTTGAGTGATTGTGATACTAAAATTCTGCTTGACAGAAAACTAACATTATGACGTGTTCTATAGAAAAACTACACGTCACACGCCGGTTACACTGAATGAACTTCACAGAATGTTAAAGTGTAATTTTGCCATTTGGCCCGATAGTCTTTACTGTTCAGCACAAGGCGGTAGTACAATCCGTTGGTAATCAAACCCTAAATAGCTTCAGGGTTTAGGGACACACCCAACTATGAAACATTCCAGGTTATTTTCTGCATGAAAAAATGAACTACTATTTCTTACTTTGATAGAAATCTGTGTGGTCTCCATCATGTGCTGCATCTGTTTCATCTTAGCCAGGCTCTTCATCCCTATATTTGCATGCACGCGCCTTTTCTCTGTAGAGTTTCCTCTTTCCTCCTCTAGAACGTCATCTCTGCTGGCACGGCAGCTTGGCTGCTCTCTATTTTCTCTATAGTCAGCCGTTTTTGCATCCTCCAGCCCTGTCCCTTCCTCAGCCAACACCCGCACGTGGTTCCCAAACTCCAATGACTGCTGGTAGGTGCCGTCTTCCTGATGTGTCAGGGGGTCTAAGTCATCATTAACGGGAAGGGGGAAGGTCTTCCCGCTGCTGGACAAAGGTGAAGTTGAGCTGGGATTTGTTATACTGTCAGACGATCGGTCTAATGTTGACTCTCCATCGCTTGGTGCTCCACTGGGCATGCTGGGAATAGGTGGGAAAGAAGTGGAGCACAAATGTTTCTCGGGTGTGATATTTTGGGGTGGCAGTGAGATAAAACAATCCAAACTTTGAGCCACAGAGGACGCAGGCTCTGGGGTTGGAGGTTTAGTTTGGTCACAGTGAGTAAAGCCCACTGTCTTTTCACCTGCTTTAACAGTCTGTGTGCCTGTGGACACACACGTTCTCTTTTCAATCGGAGCATCTGTAGCTCTCCTTCCAGCCATCTCGGCCTGAACTTGCGCGTCCTGCATTTTCCTGCTTTCATTCCTCTCTCTGCTACTCCCAAAACATTTTATCTGGAGGTCTCGCTCCTTCATCCCCCCATCTTTCTGTCCCTCAAGAAGGTCTGTGATCCCAAAGTGGCGAGCTGCAGACAGCACGTCATTCTGCTCTACGCTTCCTTTTACCTCCAGCTCCCCAGAGTAAAGAAGACCGACGAGCTTCAGCAGGGTCTGGGCCTTCACAGCCTGGAGCTGGACGCGGCGCTTCTGGCCCGATGGTGGAGATGGAGAGGCTGACAGCTTCTGAGACAGGTAGGGACTGAGAGCCGCGAGGATGCAACTGTGGGTTGGGACTGAGATACCTGTACCAATATAAGAGAAAAATGTTGGTTAACCTCTTTTAACTTCAATTTCAAGTATGCTACACTACCATTTCATTTTACACAGCTCACCCTCAGTTTGCAGCAGGGTATCACAGAACTGGGCGCTGTTTTGTTGTTTCTGCAGCTCTCTAAGAAGCTGCACCTCATAACCTGGCCACCGGTACCTCTGCATGTCCGCACAGGCACTGGGAGCAGGGAAAACGGATCAAAGAATATGGTGACATTTATTATGAGACACACATACAAGTATACTATAGCTGATACCAGTAGTAGGCACACTTAAAACTGACCTTTTGTTTTTGTTTTTTTTTTAACTATTTGCTACTGATCATCTAATTTTAATGTTTAAATCATATTTTATTTGAAAATGCCTAGATGCTGGTATTTGACCTTACTGGAGTTTTTCAGTAACTTTTAAAACGCAAGACAAAAGAGCGTGTAGTGTGCTCACTCTGCACCATCAACATAAGCTAGCATTAACCTCGCGCAGCTTGGCTGGTGTCTCAGCCGTCACTGTGGACTCGGAGCAGCACGTGGAGGAGCACAACTGCGCTCGCGCAGCGTCAAGGTCGGTGAACTTCATGGTAAACTTTTGCTGGCGTTTTTTACTTTAGAGTAAAAATTCGTATTTTCCAGCTTCAATTTATTCAGCTTTCTGTGAAATATCTTCTTTTTGCGACAGGGTACAATTTCACTTGATATTTCTTCCATGACTTTAAGGGTCGAAGTTGCTAAACGCTAGCTAACGTTACACTAGCAGACAAATGACAAAAACAGTTAAGTAAAAATGCAATGTCTCATACGCAAACACTTTTTTAATAATGTTTAAAGCCCATTGAAGGTGTACTGAACGCCTCTTGGAGTTTAACGTTAGCGCTGATGAATGTCAGGTTAAGTCAATGTTGTTCATGTTAACATCAGCTAATCATACAGTGAAGCAAAGTTAGCGTTAGCTTGGAAATTACACTTACCAGTCTTTTTCAGTTGCATGAGCAGAGGTATTTTGGACAAATATCAAACAATGACTAGCGCTAAAGTCCAAAATTAGTCCCACTGTCACAGAATCATTAAACTTGTGAGTCGCAAACTGACAGCGACACCTGCTGGCGGCTCTGTGAAGCGACGAGGGGGGAAAACACTGCAATGACAAGGCTGATGGACCATCTACCTAATTCTCTTCACTGACTCACTGTAAAATACTGTCAGCAACAAGAGGCAAAAGAAAACAAAGGCTGTGAGAAATAATTCTTTTTTTTTTTATTAAAAACAGTATTGCTAGTTACATAAGTCATCCATAAATGAGAATGTGCAACTTTTAAGAGCCAAGGCAAAGAGATTAAGGTGTAGTCCAGAATCAGATTTTACCATTAGTGTTCCAGTATCTGAGGACAGCGATGGAGGATTTTGTTTAGCTAACTTGGTTTGCATTTAATCAAGACAAAGTGAATGTTTTAATTCAAAACATAAACTGATTGCATATGCGTTCACCCAGAGCACCCAAATACAATTAAACCCAAATCAATATAAAAAAAGAAATACATAAACCATTAAAATTAACAAATATTCTCTTATATAGTTTAAATGTGCTTTTCTCCACTTTATCTAATAGCAATTTCTGGTCTATGCCTCCAGAGATATTCTACCACAAACCCTTGCTCTCCTTTATTGGTCAGTCCTCTCTTGAAGGCAACTTGTTACTTTGAGAAAATGAGGCATCCTCTGTCAGTTTCAATTCGGTATGGAAAACAAAGGAAAGGTAAAAAAAAAAAAAAGAACAGAAACACATTATACCCCCTAGTGCTTCTTTTAATCATCCACTCAGTAAGTATCTACATCTCACTCGGCACTAATATGCATTCTTCTACAGAACAAGCGCTGTTTTAAAGAAATGCGGGCAAAACATACAATACTGTGTCTTCTCCCATGTACTGTTCTGTAGTGTTAAAGTCGGTAGGCTATGAAGCAGTACATTATACAGAACTCAAGAGTTTTATACCTTTTTATAAAAAAACCAATCCCAACAACAGGAATCAACTCTTACATACAAGTTCACATATTCAATTATCTTGCAGAATAGAAAACTGTTGAGTTCCATATACATTATCACCCAACTAGTAACATGCTGAAAAAAAAGACCTTGATTGGTTACCTATGTCACGTGGGACAAACTCATCAGACCTGTCCTGAATGAGAGAGGCACTCCAGTTAGCCCACACAGATGCTATTAGAGACGAGTCTTGTATGTACACATTCATAAGATTACAGACCTGCAGGTAAAAAGGAAATGCACCCACTGAATCTTCGAAGATCTCCCAAGGATTACAAAGTTACATTTAACAGAAACATGACTTTAGAAACAGGACAGATTACACTGTCTGTCAACGAGATGGAGAATAATTTGTCTGCTCCACTTCTGTCTGTGGGAACATCCACACTAGGACCTCCGCCCTTTTCTATCTATCTTCACAATCAGAAACAGAAAATGCATTTTCCCAATGGACTGTCAACGATACAAACTGCGCACAAAACAAAGATGACAGTTTTCAGTGTAGATGCTGTAAAGAGTCTGTGTGGGAGGGTCTTGCGTTCAGTACTGGCAGTAGCAGAATCATTTGGCACAGGTACAATACTGTGGTACAAAGCAAAGCAAGAAGAGGAACAAGCACGCAGAAGCTTTACACATCTGATTAGATCATTAAACTGGTTCTTAGTGGTAGGAAATTTTTTGTAGTAGTTAAATATAAGAGGAAAAAAATTAGACATTCCCTCTATTTTGTCAAAACATAGTGTAATAGCCATTTATGTAAAATTTATTTATGTAAAACGTCTCGTTCTGATCCCGACAGGTCTGATCTTTCTAATTAGCTTAATTAGTCGTAGCTCCGACCTCCAAGAAATAGAAAAGTTCTCAAATGAAGCCATAGTCTGCTTATAATCGAAGACAGAATTAGTGTTGTCCAGGCAAGTCGTAGTGTTTTGTGGAGATGTAGTGATGTGGCCACAGTATCTGATCGAGTGGTTAGCGTTTTGGAGTTCAGGGACTCGCAAAGCACAAAGTGGTCATAGTGTCTCGTCCGGTTTGTCCACAGGGAGCGTAGATCCCTGTCACTTGTTCCCCCATGTGGTTTCATTAGTTTGTCAGCTGCAATGGAGGAATGTAACAGAGAGAGGGAAAGAAGAGAAGCTGCAAAAGAGTGAAGGGGGACAGAAGTTAAAGATGGGCTTTAGTCCCATCGGTAGTGTAGTGGTCCCCCATTGTCAGTTCAGCAAGGGCAGTACGTGGGAGGAGGCTGTCGTCTTGTGATGCACACAATCAGTTTTTCTGCAAGACAAGAAGGGGCACAAGTGTAGGATGTGAACATGTGGAGCAGCTAATGCGAGGCGTTCATTCCTAGGCGGGAAGAATCGCACATTTAAAATTCATATTAACAGCAGAGGCTTTAAAAGAAAGGTACAAAATACATTACACAATAGTGGCTGCTGGCAACAGTCATCACACGTTAGACAAAATATTACACAAACTGTGCAGAGGGGGGAAAAAAAAATAAAATAAAAATCACATCTCAGAGAACAAGTCACTGACACTTTTCACCAGCAGGGGGAGCAAAAGAAAAAACATCCAAATACAGTACAATGGAAGCTCATTAACACTGGTCACTGTCAAACACACAAAGTCATCGTTCTTAATACACAACAAGATATTAGGCCATGCAGTGAGTTGAGAGGAGCAGCCGGTGGGACACACATACCATGCGCCGACATGCAGTGACAGTGGGTGTAGCCTAACCATCGTAAGAATCCATGAGAGGCAAAGAGGCCTGCCTCTCCCCATACATCCCTCCCTGAGAGCGAGAGAGAGAGCAAAGGAGACAGAGACAAGACACACAGCGTGGAGGGGGTAAATAAAGAAATAAGAGGGTTAAGTGTGAAAATCCAAAGAAGGATGAGGAGACACAAAATGTAAAGACAGGAGAAGGAAAAAGAAACAGTGTGAGAGAGAGAGAAGTGGAGAGAAATAAAAGTGTCAGATGATAAAAGAAGGGTTATTAAAAGGTTAGTTTAATGTTAGATCATGTTTCAGGGGGGGAAAAGGAACACCGGTGAGAAATCATGTGCAAGACACAGATCAACCACAGTGCTTTAACGTGACATGCATCGACATGCTGTCTGTGGGTGTGCGTGACAGCATGGCCGTTCACATGGTAACGTTTTTCGCAGGGAGTGAGGACATTGGTCTGTGTATCATCCTGAAATAGGGAAACATCAAAAAGGTGTGTGTGTGTTGCACATGATTAATCAGTTTTATTTCTCCAAGGAGTCTTATGTTTTTAGCTAGGCGGTGATGTGCAATCGATATCCAATCCAAAACACATTATTCAGCTTAGTGACAGCACAGATAACATCTTGAGACTGCTCTGGTGTTTTAAAAACACTCTTATCATCTTGTCTGTACATTTTAGAAATGTCCGGTTATAAGCTCTTGAAGTTATATGGAGGTGAGTAAAGATTTGTATAAAGTATGTAAGGTTTTTTTTTTTAATGACTCTCAGTAAGATGCAGTCATGCAGGGTTAATGCTGTGGTGTGTGTGTGGGGGGCCAGTCTTTACCTGTACGGCATCTTTGTCAGCAGGTTCGAGCGTGTTATCCAGAGTGTTCCTTCTTGCTCTCTGGTCCAGTGTGGAGTAAGCATCTGTAAAGGGGAAAACGTATGTTAAACCAGAGGGGTGTGTGTGTTTGTAATCTTACAAATCTCACAATAAAAAAACTGCTCATTCATTAGTTTCATCTGTGTGTGGTTTTTTTTGCTGTTGTCACACTTGCCTGGTCCCAAGTCATTCATTGGAATCATTTCCCGGTCCCCTTTGCCGCCCCCTGTGTATTAAAGACACAAAAACAGTGAGCATCGATGTGTATTGTGAAATGTTTTTGATCCCACAGCAGCAGTGTCAACAGACCATTTCCTGCCAAAGACAGAATAGTGTGTAGGTGTGTGAGTGTTTTGCAAAGAGTTAAGACATGAGCCAGCTAGTATTTGCAAATATTTAGTTTGCGTTACTTTGGTGTGTAATTGGTGGGGTTTGGAAATTTTCTAGTCAGTGCCAAGGAGCTTAAGAGATTTTTTTATTTTTTTATATATATATTAAAAAAGAATATTTTACACAACTGGGTGATTGAAAACCCTTTAATGTCCCACTGTGGTAAACTCTTAAACGTCTCGCACACCAAGCAGGTTGAGACAAACATACGAGAATGAAATGTTACTACTATTTACATTTTCTGCAAACAGCTTATTGTCATTATATGAACTACTTGAAACACTGCCACTGTGGGGCTTTAGTGAAATACAAACATTTAGAATTGGATCTGTACGCAAAGTAAAATGATAAGCCAGACAAAGATGAATTTGTACTGGAATTCAAGAAACCATGCATTTAAAAATTTGAATTTTATAGATCTGACCCCCTAACAGCTTTTAGCGGTAGTTTGTGTGCTGCATTACACAACACACAAGCCATGTGTAATTTGGTGTTTTCTCCAGTTAAACATCATGACAGTTTTGGTCCACATCAACAAAATAATATACTAACTTTGCTAATAATGCTTCTGTACAAACAATATTTTAGCTGGACAAAATATGAACAGACAGGAGACATAGAAGACTTGCTTTAAACCCAGATATTTGGCTTTGTAGCAGTACACTTTACATGCATGTGTTTCCCTTTTCCTTCCTGACCTCTGTCTATGAGAGGCAGAGTGCTGTCCTCATATCCTCCGTTGGCCCTGGTGGTGTTGCTGGGAGGGTTTAGGTTGACCATGAAGTCGGACTTCTTCCAGCCGTCCTTCTCTAAAGTGCGCCGCAGCTCCTTGCACCCCCACATTGTCTGCAGCACCAGGCCGGCCCCACGCACCTCCCGGTCAGAGCGATTCCTGGTGATCCCGGTGGACAGGAGAGGCAGACGGAGGGAATTAAAAATAACTTATAAAGGGACGCATAATGAAGGCAAGTCATTTAAAAATGCAGTTCAAACAGGCTATAAACCTGCAGACATGGACAGAACATGATCTCAAATTTCAAACCTTACCCGTCCTTGTTAATGAGCACCAGTCTCTCGACCCCCTGTGAGGCCCTGAGGGTCTTGGCTGCTTCCAGGCTGGAGCCCAGCACCTCCTGGAGCGTGCTCAATACAGACACCACCGTCTCTTCAGAAAGTGCTCGCACCGGTTGACTCTGACCGCCGCCAGGCAGGTTGGCCACCAGGTGAGGCACTGCATGTTTACCTGATAACACACAAGCACAAGAAAGCACACTTAAATACTGACACTATCTGTGGCGGTTTGGGGGGTCGGGGGGCACAGACCTCGGACCCCACTATGGCCTCACACACAGATCAAAGTCAGCCAGCTGATCAGCGGACATTACCAACCAGCCCTCCTCTCTACCAGCAGCAGAGGGAGGACGAGAGGAGGGACTGAGTTGTTCATTCTTTCTAAACTTCACTCAGTATGTTGATGTCAGGAATATGATTCATTTTACTGACATGTTAGATTTGTTTCCAGCGAGATATTAGTGACTCTGCTGTTGTAAATCCTGTTGCTGCTCTAGAAACATTTAGTTAATAAATGTTACTTTTTTTTTAAAGTAATAGCCTATAATCAATTATTTAGTAATAAATAGGACTGACAGATGATAAAGAAATGAACCGGCCCATCTCTGTGTCCTGGTTTTAAAATCCGGCCCAACTGAATTTGTAATTGAATAGCCCTGGTCTACAGTAATCATAGTAATATATCTATAGGGGACAGCGTTTACAGTCAGCCTTTCTTTATTTTATCCATTTTATTTTATTTTACTTATTTTATATTTCTTAAACGGGTATTTTAGTCTTTTCTATGTTTTCTTGCTTTTATCTTGTATTGTTTTTGTATTATTGTTTTTTTGGGTATTATTGTCTTTACACTTGTTAAAGCACTTTGTAACTTGTTTTTGAAAAGTGCTCTACAAATAAAGATTATCATCATCATCATCATAATCATCTTCCTTGCGACGAAATGTACATTAAACTGAATGCAGCATTGTACACAATATTTTGTCCTTGTAATCCATGTTTCCATTGCATGGATAGCCTTTGGATATTGCTGGAAATTGTTCTCCTGTCCCCCTCCTTGAAGAGTAAATTATTATAACAATTTAATAATGCATTGCAATAAAACAGAACTTTTCATACACAAAAAGCTATAACAGTAGCCTACTGGTCCTACCAGGACACGCAGTCTGCCAAAATATGTTTTCCACTTGATAATCCGCAGATGACGGCCTACCATCAAGTATTTTGTTTTGTGTATACTTCACATCATGACTGATAACAGGGATGAATATGGTGGTGTTTCTTGTTTCCTAGCAAAAGTTATAGTGGGATACAAAATACAAACTGGGACCCAGAGTATGTCTCGTACACTAGAGCTTAAACTGTTCATTAAACCCTACAAAGAAGTGTTGCATCAAAGAATGCACTGTCTCTCGAGCTAAAGTTAACAGCAATGTTTTTTTTTTTGTATAATGTAATTTAATAAAACTATAACTAAGTTACTGAAAATATCCCGTTATTGAAACAAACTGTGAGTTACTGGAACATACTAAAACAATACGTTCTATACTAAACAAGACATTTTGAAAGCTTGAACATTACCTTTGTCTCTCTCGTCCCGGACTGAATGTGCCCCTCTGACAAAACAACTGGCCCCAGCCCGGCCCCTTCAATAAAATTGGTCTAGAACCACCACTGGACACTATCCTCTTGTACAATTAATCCTTCTGGTGCAACACAGGTACAAAACTGTATTTTTAGATATTGTTGCACAGGATGACTAGCTCCATCACACAGAGCGCTTTAAGTCTCACCTAGAAGATCTCTGTTGCGAGCGTCGATGGCTAGGTTGCGGAGGGCTCCAGACATGGCGCGGACCACGCGGTCGTTGCCGTGGGCCAGCAGCTCCGTTATCATGGGTAGACCCTTCTCGAGGCGCAGCAAGGCACGGATGTATCGCCCATACTAAACAGATACACATTTGTTATTCATTAAATCAGGGACTGATTTAACAGCCCAATTCAACTTGACAATATACGCTAAAAAGGTGTCCCCCTTTCATGTTTTATAAGTTTCCTCATTATGGGTAGAAACAAACCTTTCCAATGTCATTTTCAAGTAGTTTCCCTTTGCTAGAGGAATCAATTATTTGTATTATCTGAATCTACTCAAATATATCCATAAAAAAAAGGGGAACAATGCACCAATTTTGGTTAAATTTGCATGAAGACAGCCAGACAATACATTTACAGCATTTTGTTGTAGTATATCATGTGCAGAGAAGCATACATTTTAATACTTTATTCATTATAGGTAAGTATGGTATTAAGCATCTTTCCCATGGATACTTACTGAACAGGCGCGCCAACTAGTATCAAACTCCCATTTTCCCTGATTATTCCATTCACTAATCTTATGGCAGCAACAGTCTAAACCTCTTAGCCACAGTGTTTTAGAAAGTGTAATTCAAGACTGGACATGCCTCCTTTAACAATAACGCAACAGTCATTTTCAGGACACGGTTAAAGTAGTGGTACGTAATCCAAGAATGCACTGGAAAGGGTACATTCCCAAAACTGCTGAAATCTTACAGCATGCAGGACCAAACAGCTCGAAAGAGCTGTGTGTAGGTATATGTTCCCGTAACTAGCTATAAAATGGAATAGGACAATGATGAAGAGCGGTCCTTACAGTCCAGCGTCCGGCACACAGGTTCTGAACAGCTCCGGCTGAGGCTTCCAGCACGGTGGGGTTCTTGGACTCCTTTAGCAGAGAATTGTAGATACGGACCACCTCCGGCTGGAACAGCAGCTCATAGCCTACAGGAACAAAGCAGAAAGAGGGGAAGAGGGCAGAAGCACGAGGGGAAGTATGGAGAAGCAAGAAAGAGTAGCAGGAATGATAGATGGGTAATGTGCAGACAAGGTAGGAAAGAGCGACAAAAAGGAGGTTGTAGAGAAGACGGGTTGAGAAGGGCAGATATAAAGTTTATGAACAAATGCACTTGTTTTAATCAGCTTTTCTTTTACTGTATGATGCATGCAGTGAAAGTGTCAACTGAGCCTGTAGTTACCTTTAGCAGGTGTGGTCCTCTTTGGAATGTCTATTGTGTCTGCAGCTCCATCATCATCTTTCCTACCTGGAAGAAAACATCAACGTCACAGCCTTAAAAAGATGCTGACCCTACATATGATTTAGAGTATTAGTTCTACTGTTAGTCCATTTGTTCTCGTTTGGTTAGACGTGCTATGACAAAAAACTGATATGCATCTTGGGTATATCACTACTCTTTCACATTGAGAACAAGGCGTGCATGTTAGTACTAAGACACACATACTGACCCATTAGCTCTGCTACTCTATTATTAATACTACGACCACAACATCAGCAGCAGCAGGCAGCTGAAGCAAAGTGCCGTCATACAGTGGTAAAGAGCTTACCTTTGGAAAACCACTCATCTGTAGGCCAGCTCGAAAAGGGGAGATGAGAGAAAGAAGGGTGACAGAACAGGAGCAAGAGAGAGCATTTACAGTAAGTAGGAGGAAAGCAGCCATAACTGAGCCACCCAGTTAACACCTGCTTACATCCCAACAGCACGGCTGCCACCACACAGAAATCAGCAATGTGACATGCCAGGTATGAAGGGCAAATAAAGCACAGCAGCTCATGTACCCATTTAAAACTGCTCTGTACAGCATCCGTATGAGAATGTGTTGCGTTAATATATTTCTGTGCAACACACCAGACAATTATAAATACACAGAAAAGCATTTAGCCAACCAATCCGCTGATACCCACTGTGTGATATCAAGCAAACAGACGTTTCCCCCCCACCCCGATCATGATATCACACCTCTGTCTTGCACAGCTGCTACCTTGATACAGTAGTTGTAAAATCTTGTCTGTTATATCTCATGTAACATTCTCATTATAGCAAACCTGAGCACTTGTTCTGTACAGATTGCTGATCAAAGAACTACAAAAATTTCAGCAGAAATCACTCAGTGGTTATTCAATAATAATATATATATTTCTTGAATTACTTTAGAGCTGAAATTATTTATCCAGTAGTCAGTCATTGAGTTTTGTCCCCTCTGCCGTTACAGCATTAAACACACTGTGTCGCTGATTATGTTGTGTGCTGGGATACATGAATGTATTTATAGGGACTCTGTATAATTGCTGTGTTTGTATCTGTGTTTTGATGTTGGACTGGCTGTGAAAACAAATTTGCTGTTTTATATCACTGTCCAGTGAATCTCTTTGGGTTTTGGTCTGTTGGTCGGACACAAACAAGACAATTATGTAAAAATCTTCATTATTCATTCATCTTATTCAAATCCGTGTATATAGTTAGCATTGATAGTCAAGGCTTTTATGAATTGATTACACGGTTTCTAAATTGCCGCATTATATAGTAAGTAAAACAAAACATTCAAAGCCCAAGACAACTACCAGGGAGGATGTACAGTATTTCAGTTATTCATATGAATGTTGACAGATGTCATTTGTCAATGCAGGTTGGGTTTTTTTTATAATAACATAGGCAAAGTCACTAAACAGTTGGAAGTGAGGGGGGGTGTAGTTGAGGAAAAAAAAAAAAAAAAAGAAATAAAATCAATACTCTCAGTGAAACACAAACAGCAGCAGGAGCGAGGATGAGCTTTCTCAGTTGGGGAAATTGTTAACATTCCTGTTGTGAGCAAGTGGTTTTGTTTGTGCAGGTGTGTGTGTGTGTGTGTTAGTATCAGTGACATCACTGCAATATTTCTCCTACTGACTGAACAAATATTTCTCTCTCTCTCTCTCTCTCTCTCTCTCTCCCTCCCTGACACAGACCTTTGTTCTTGCGGGAGCTAAAGCAGCCGCCCTTCTGGCCGGAGGGGCCGGTGCCCTGGTTGAGGGGCACGGTCTCCTGGTAGCGCTCATAGCCGGGGATTTCACGATGCACCTGATAGGACAAGTTCCTCAGCAGACACATGCTGTTCTCTAACAGCTGCAAAGATGGGAGGGTGCAGAGAGAGATTGAAGGGAAAACAAAACATTATGAAAATGCAAACTCTCAAACTGTAATGTAAATGTAACTGCCAGGTGTCTCACTATAAGTACATAATATCACACATAGCTTCTCCCCTCATCACTCCGCCATGTAAAACTGTTTATTTCTATGACTTATTCTATTTACCCATCTACTGTACATCATTTTTGTATCCATTTGTTTTTGTCAGTAACATGAAGGGAACTACAACTTAATCTTGTTATACAACCCTGTGTCATAAAATGATAAATCTACCTTGTACCTCTTGGTTTAATAATCTGGTTTAAACCAGAGATATTTTTTTTATTACGCTTCCTTCTCAAAACCTGGAACATATATTACCCACAATGCAACTCGATCGCTGACAGATCGGTCAGAGAATCTGGTGTGTTCTGCTAGACGCAGCTAACCTGGCATCAAGCCACTAGTTTCCATTCAGAGATGAGAGAAGTCTAGTAAGCTCACTTCTCTCAAATACACCTTTCAAACTTATAGTCTTTAACCCCAACAGACGCCGTCTTAAGTGACCTCACTTGACACCTGTAAACAGACTTTGATGTGGACATCTGTTCCACCTACCTTATTGTCGACGTCTTTACAATCAATCTGGGATTGGACGATGTACATGAGTGAATCCACCAATCCTGTGCACTCCCTCAGCTTCCTCCTCGCCTCACTTCGCTCTGAACTCACATTTCTTCAAACAAGTGGAGAGTTGAGAAAAGGGAAGAAAAAAAACAAACAAAACAAGAATGTAAAAGAAAACACGGATTAGCAGTGTGACTGGTTGGAGAAATAAATGAGGCAGTTGGAAGTGAAGGTTCACTTTCAGGGAATACAAAAGGATTCCAGCACACAACGCTTGAACACACCTGCAAGAGTTGTTTGTATGAAACTCCTGTTAAATCTGGTGATTTACAAAGAGAGTTCAGTTTGGTGAGATCAAGTTACCAGTTTCTTCAACTGCTCTCTAACTCAGGCCTACTGGATGGATGGAAATGTGGAAACTGAGACCCAGTTACTCTTCTTCATTCATCGACATAGAAGGCATGTAAAGAAAGAAACATGAGGGAGAAAATTCTGTGCAATGATATTCAGCCTTGGTCTTTTATGCTGGTTTGTTTGTCCCAGTGGCAGACACGCCCTCTCACATTACCAGGACACAATCCTTTCCACAGCAAGGGGCACAAATTCACTTAACAGCAGAGTTGGAACTGTACTGTGTCTATATGATCCCTTAACTTTCCATCGAGCACCACCAAGTCAAAGACCTTATTTATCTAATACTCCAAATACCTGCAGATCTAATGACATTCCCATCATCCTCAGCTGTACTTGTTAGCATGCAAACAAGCTAAACTAAGGTAACAATGGCAAACATTACACTTTAGTTGTGACATTGTTAGCATACTGACATTAGCATTTAGCAAACTGAGCAAAAAGAAGCCTTACAGATTCCTACACAATCTTGTTATAAGATTTCTGGATTCATATAATTCTACCTCTGGTTGCCATCTGCTGATTTACTGCAATCATCATTCAAACAAATATCATTCTTATCCATTAACTGAACAACATCTGCCACTTTTCTATTCAGGGTTTATCATGAAGCGCACTGACATCTCAGGTATGTATCTCACTGATACTGTACCTAAGGTGTGACGCTGATTTCCATCTCATTCCTGCACCTTGTGTTAAAATGCCGGGCACATGGATAAAGCAAGTTGTCAGATCCACGTGAGTCACCCTCGTGTCTCACCTCTATCGTTCTAATAGACTTCAGATGGGACTGGGTTTACCTGAAACCCAACATCATGATCATCTTTCAATATAAAAACTTGTCAAACAAGGATTTCCAGGGGTCTTTTTTTTAGTAAGTAAGTTTTCCCAGACCACAGATGTGATCATATCTTCATTTGAGCATGTAAGGTATTACCTATTTCAAACCTCTCTACACTATTAGCAGGAGAGGTCTGTGATTATTACTATAATCTTCTCACCTACACAGGTAAATGTGTAGGTGAAATGTGTGTTTTGGCTAATAACTCATTAACACTGAAGCGTAGCAAAACAATATTTCTGTCTTTTGACACATTTTTCTTCACCAAATTTGGAACATACCATATTTAGATATTTTGGGTATAACGTACTGTTTGTCTCTAATTGGTACCCAAACTTTTGAAGGTGTGGCCTGATGCACTTAATGGGAAATAACTCTTCAATGCTAAATTGGATTCAAACCACGTTTGGGAATATTGTAGCCTACATATAGCCACACTGCACAAGTGAGTAATATTTCATAATACTCTAGTTAGATTAAAAGACAATGTTGGTTAAAGTTCAGTCTAATCATTTTATCCGTATCTGCGTCTAGTGTCTGGTAATGTGGTGTACCGACTTACCCTGAGATTACCCAGTTATTCTATACGTTTCTAGACCAGTGTGGTCAAGGGGAATTCACAGATAACAGACCGGCAGGCTAGAACATACTGTTTACATTGTATAAGTTAATGCCCCACTGTCCTCTGATTGCCCGCTCCCTGTAAACTCTGAGATTCCCTTCTTAACACAGTTACTGTGAGGATGCTTTTCTCTTACAAAAAATAATATTAAAACGCATCGTTTTGTGTCGGGGCTGCTGAGCTCCTCCACACACCCACACCCAGAGCAAAGTCAGCAGACAGCAGATCAGAGAGGCCACGGAGGACATTATTTGACACCAACTACGCTTGTTATTGAGTGTAAGTGCAATAAAATGTTCGCAAGAAAAAAGACAACACTTTACCAATACACCTGTTTAACAAGCACGAACATGTAGAAAAGAATTCTTTAATCTGCTCTGTCCGCAGTTTCTCATCCACTGCCGCTGTGTTTTGCACAAGCACAGCGTGTTACCTTGGCTAATAGCAAATTGTTACAAACAAGCCAAAACAAAAGATGTCTGTATGTTGTCTAAGTGTTTAGATTGCCACATATTATTTGCCACACATCTTAAAATTTGGCAAATTCTTGTAAACAGAGCAGCAGGCTGAGACAAACCAGACCCTCCTCTCTCTACCAGCAGAAAGAGGAGGAGGAGGAAGGACTGATGCTGACCGACTTCTGAGTTCTTCAGTCTTTCTTAAATTCATTAAGTATTTTGATCCCTACTTGTGTGAAGATGGCAGCAGGTAAAGACAAAGTTTATGATAATTTACACTCACAGTTAAGAGTCCATCTCTGGGGACAAGGAATGGGGATTATCACACCATTTTCATTACACAAGAATGTTTGTTGATGATGCGTTTGTTTGTATCTATGGCTACGTTCACACTGCAGGTCCTAATGCTAAATTTAGATTTTATTGACCAGATTCGACTGTGACTGTTCACTTCTTTTGTTTTTTGTTTTGTTTTTGTTTTTTTAAATGTGGCCCATATCGGACTCCAGGGTGAACTGGCCACATGTGCAAATGAATAGTACGACATCAGAAGCAGCACTCAGTCGTACAGAAGTAAACATGAAACAGGTTACAATACGACCCTTTAAGTTTAGCTTGTACAGAAATATAAATATATATTAAATTTACAGATTAAACATGACAATTAACTTTATTCTTGTTGTTATTTGATAACCGCTTATAAATAAAACAATTTGTATGGGGGCAAGTAAAAAGTGACTTCAGGCAAGTAGATTTCTGACCCACTTGCTTCACATGGACACAGCTTCTGTCCTCCCTCTTCATCGAGACATCTCCATGATGTTTTTCCTTCTCTTCTGCTCTGTTAACTCGTCATCCCTTCCTCCCTCATACATCCTCCTGCTCTGTCATCTGTTGAGCTGGCATGTTTCCATCTTCCTCTCCTGTCTACAGCCACCCTCCCTCCTTAAAATCAGTAACAGTCAAACAGCTCTGCTCAGCTCTCCGAAGCTGCCTCCATCCCTCCATCCTTCCATACCTCAGGCAGCCTGCTGTGTTGGTGAGGGCCGTCTCCCACTCAAGATGTCTGGGCTTGCAGTTTTCCTCCCTTCCTCCTGCTCCATTGCTCCCTCGCTCCCAGCCTGAATGGGGCACCATCACTTCATCACAGAGGGCGTGCAGTGCATGGTCCACAATCTCCATTTTCACTGAGTCGTGAGACGACAGGTTCCACAGCGTCCCTGGGAAAAACATAAAAATTGAATTATGAAGCCTACTGGTGCTCTCGCCTAACTAATAATAGGCCTGCAAAGAATTAAAAAAGATATTGTAATAACAGGTGAATAGTCTTATTCCCTGATTTGTGTGGAATGCCAGCTCTGAGTCTTTAAATTAAAAAGTGTAGGGAGAGTCTACGTATGGCCACTCAGAAACTTTAGGTCTGTCCTGGACATTTCTCAGAAAAGGCTTCCAGTTCATTCTGCCCATTTTTACACCTATAGACACCAGAGGGGTATAGCTACAAAGCAAGAAAAATGGGTTAGCGATGTATGTTAAGTCTAAAGCAATAGTTTTTGATGTCACAAAGGTGGCTCTCTTTTAACCTGGTTAGATCACTTATCAACTTATGTTGCACACTTAACCTAACCTTTTCACTAATTCTTTTCCTGACAATTCTCTCTGAGCGATTCTCACCTGAGGGCGTACTTTATGCAAACTTGCTGTTAGTAATACCACCGAACAAAGCTGTGTAATTCCAGTAGTGTAATCTGTCTTCTGAAGCTAGAGTTATACAAAATATTGTTTTTGCAGTTTGCTTCAGGTAATAATAACACTTTAACACAGCATATCATCCATAGACAAAAAATAATGAAGGCACAGCAACTAAAGACCACTTTGGATGATGTTTTAATGCTTGGTCATGATTTGCAGCCAAGTCCATTTTACACTTCTGTTATTGCAGCTATTAGAACACAGTCTATTGATATTTATCATGGATAATGTTTAAATGTGCTCTAATGTGCAGCTGTTACGTTACACATCGAGAGTGGTAAAATAAAAATAAAATACAAATATTTTCTTCCTCCCTTGCCATATTTGCAGCAACAGTGTTACTTTTTTCTGTAATATTCTAGCTATATAGCTCCTTTATAACGACCTGTTCCTCTTGACTGATGTAGGCGGCATGTGATCGGTCCATTTTGTGCAGAAGAAGAGTCAAATGACCCCCCTTTTTGGGAACACGCAGAGAGCCTAATGAAAAAAGCCTGGGTTGACAAAGAAATTTGATAACCACCGTCGTGGAACCCATTATCTCTGATTGGGTGTTTTAGGTTGTCGAGCCAGCTAATGCAAAGAAAGGACGGCTGTGTCGAACCTGCTTTGTACAGAGCCTGTATCACAAAGCAAGTCTGACTACCACAGGCGCTACTTGGGTTGGTTTGTTTTACAGAGCATAACATCTGTGAGTCTGGATAACCAGTATCATGAAGATGGTTGTCAAACTGGCTCAGCTCTGATTGTGTAATAAGATACATGCAGGGAAATTCAGTTATACCCGTGATATTAAGTGTATAACATTTTGAAGTTCAATACAATAATAAGCTGTTTGTTTCATTTGTATGAAAATGTGATGCACTTAAAACAGTTAAAAATAATGTAGGACTGTTTCTACTGACAAAGCAGAGGGGGGGGGGGCATTTCAAATTTATTGGGAGCTAATTATTATTTTTTTTTCTAATAAACAACAATTGTACTTTCTAATTCCAGTTATCATCTCAATGTGTCCTCATTATTCTGAAGTACAGGGATGAAATAAGAGTGTAAAAAGGTATCTACAATGTCAGAAACTAAAATGCAGCTATAATCACCATTCATTTGCACAGTATTTAGTATGGCAGCCTAAGCTGTCTCTGTGTTTGTTCAAAGCTGTGTTGTAAACCCAGAGTGGACACACAGAAAGCCTGGAACAGCAAAGAGACTCTACTGACCTATAAAAATATATATTGCTTGATTGCTTATAACTTTATTGTGAACTCTGTACTTGTGTCTATGTCGCAGCAGACATGGCGTTCTACCCCAGTTAAAAGTGAGCCAGCTTCATGATACTGGAAAACCAAAGTTAAGCCTAGCCCCAAAGTTAAGACAGCTGGATAAGGCACTAATCTCACTTTGTGGTAGTTTGGATAGTTACATTGGGACACACCTTACTAAACTGAGAAAAGATACGACAGCGAATGACATTCAACCAGAAGTTCAACCAGCCAGTTCAGTCCAGAGGCTCAAAATCTTTAACTTGTTCATCAACAGTCAAAATCATGCTTACACAGTTTGTGTGTCTGCATGTGCCTCTAACCTGTGATGGTGTCAGTGAGGTCCTGGTCGTGGGTCTTCCTCAGCAGCCTGACCAGAGCCGGCACTCCGTCACAGTTCTTGATGGCGATCTTGTTGTCTGGATCTTTGCCATACGAGATGTTCTTTAGTGCTCCACAGGCTGCATAGTGAACCTATAACAAAGACGCAGTAACAGTTTATTGACCTATTCGCCATGATGGAGTATCGCTAAAAGACAGCAATGATTTCACGTACATGGATTAAGTGTAGTAGTTTCATGCCCTTGTAACTGTTAATAGTGTGCTACACAAATTATATGGGTCTAATTAATGGGATTTGTTGGCCACATTTCTTTTCACTATTAAGCAATGTTGTGTTCACAAACATCCTTGCATACATGCAGCTGTTTTTATGATACTATTTTCTTTGTCATCTTTTGTATCTCAACTTTTCACACAACATACCAAACACACAGACTCAGACAAAGTGTTTGGAGTCTTTGGAAACAGTTAGTGTTGAAGAGGATGCAGTCGCTGTTTGACCCATTTCTCCAGCCAGCAAGTCATCCGACACACACCAGACTTCAGACTTGTCACTGGCCGTAACAGCATGAAATGTGAAATTAAGATGCTGCTTTGCCTTGAGAGTGGAATGCATGATGTGGTTTGTCTGGTAATGCCCATACAAACATCAGCAAATCTTTGCCACAGCTTGTGCTAAATGAAAGGGAATCATAGAAAAACCACAGAATGTTTTGACCAAAACTATATTTAGCACAAATGTTGACCTACAGGATTTGAAGAGAAGTCAAATACGTAATGCTTATTTCTATTTCCCTTTCATTTGGGATTAGTGGAGAGTCTCAGGTTCACCTTGACTCAGGCCAATGAACGGTCCCAGTATTACATAAGAAATAAACTGCATCCCTTAAGCCTCACTTTTACCCCACCTAGTCCTATCATAACAACTAAAGAATGAACAGGCCATGGAGAAAGTCAGCAAACTGACCTCTTTGTTTGGGTTGTCAAGCATAGAGACCAACGCTGGGATGCCTTTCAGACGACGCACATCAGACTTCACCTGAAAAACAAAACCACACATTTCGTAAGTGGTGATGGAGACCCAGCAAATCACAATTATGTCGACACAAATCAATTTAAAAACTGAAAGATGTACAAACAAATTACATCAGAACATCAAGGACCAAAGCAATCTGTTTTTAAACTGTAGTGAGCCTGTTTTAATATTATGGATAGACTAGTTGTGGCTTTAACTGTAATCCTGACTGAGACTGCTGTGATATAGTTAAAACTGAACTTGGATACAGAACATAGAAAGGCACAAAGTTATGCAGCCTTCCTCTCTTTTTGTCAACATCAAGGAATTTTGCTTGAATAAACTTTATTGCAACAGCCACTGAACAAAAACCCACCAGGGGTTCCATGCTTATGTCGTGACTGGCCAACTGATTTGTACAGTGTGAGCATAAATTTGTAGGATCTAGCTGCGCAGAAAGGCTGATTAAAACATGTAGTGTAGTTTACACAACGTACAAGATCAAAAAATAAAATTAAAAAAAATAAAAGAGGAATGTCTGCCAAGATGTGGACAGACTTCTTCAATGCAAGATTTTTCCCTGTTTTTGTAAAGTTTTGCTATACTGAAGTGCTTTCTATGGCTCATGTTATTGTAAACGTATGTTCATTTCCACATGGTTAAACAACCAGCAATCCTGACCGACTTATCAAACAAACAGATCTATGTTCCAACACATTTTTAGTCTCTTTCGTTAATAAGAACCAAAAATTAGTTTTTTTTTTTTAATAAATAAATTGTATAATACAATTTTCACTGCCTCTGTGCAGCCATGATTTTTCACTGCGTCCACAGAAACGACGATGATAGGTATGCAGATGAGACAGTCCATTTGCCTTTCTGATAACTACATCACTGCAGAACTCAAATGTTCAGACAAGCTTAATTTGTTTGTGATGCTATATGCAATTCAAAGATAAATGTTGCATTTTCTGACTGATTTGGTTGCAGGTATCTGGGGTTGGTAGTTATAAGGCACTTGGGACCGAGCTGTTTTTCAGTCCGTGACAGAGGCAGCTCTGCGCAGGAGTGTGTATTCAACCGTGCGCCTTTTTAAAAAAAATTATTTCCATACTTTAAATCCATACTTGCTTTACTTTTACCCCAAACTTATCCAGTACTGCAAATCAGTAAAATCAAATTCCAAACTTTTCCAAACTGTAGGAACCCTGCAACTACTCCCCATAATTAATCATCTTTAAACTTCTGAGATATTGCTTTGACCTTTGCGCTCCTCAACTAATTGCTATAAAATTGCTGTATCTCTTACTTTATCATTCTTATAGGTGAGATGCTGCAGGTACGCAGCTGCGTTGCTCCTGACGGGGTCTAGCCTGTAGTTCAGCATGGCGATGACCTCTGGCAGCTCAGGTTGACGCCAACCACTGGGGCCCGGACCTTTCCTTAGAGTGCTGTCCAATGAAGCCATGCTACCTCTTTCACCCTGGGCCAGCGGTGCTCCTCTTTCCCAATAGTACATGTCCCCTGGACCGCTCATGTCACCGTCCAAGGTGCCCTCGTAACTCCTGGAGAGGGAAGAGATGAAGATGAAGAGGATATGTGAATGTATTTTTTGGCGACACACTGACATCCACCAATACAAAGAGATGAAAGGTGAGAAATTACAGGAGTAATGTAAAACAATACATTTTTTTGAAATGAAAATTATTATTATGTGCACTTCTTACACACGAACATTACACTGAAAGATGGCTCGCACGCGCACTGCATACAGAACAGCTTACCCAGCCCTGCGTGGTGGCCCATGGGCAAATGCATGGTGGTTGCGGGGCACGGTGCTGTAGTGCATTGGGTGTCCCATGCCATAGTCAGGCTCATCATAACCTATGCTGCGCTGATCATCCTCCAAACCGTACGGCTCTGGGACAAACCTTGGGATGGAGGACAGCTCCAATGCACTTCCCATACGCCCAACCTACATGGAGACATGTTCCAAAATAACAGAAGCTAAAAGCCAAACCTGTGTGTACTCTACTCAAATTAAATCCTATTAAAATCTTAACATTGAAGCAAAACACCTCATATAGCAAGTGCATCTTAAAGTGTCAGCAGACCAGGTTAAAATCCTGCAAAAAGGAACAAGTCAATGCAATTGATACAGTGATTGTTTTACATACCTGTGGCTGAGCAGCATAGGGGTCTAGCTGGTTCCTGCTGTGGGCTCGGTAGCTTGGATCCAGAGTTCTGTAACCATCTGGATGAACCGGTCTGGAGTGGGGAGTGACAGGGAGGTTTAGCATAAGATGGGCCATAAGATTATCCAATTAAATTGGAAGTTAAAGTCTTGTTGGATCAGTTTTGGTTACGTAAACATGAATTTCAACACAGTACCTGTAGCGATCATCCATGCGAGCTCCCCTGCTGAGGCTTGTGTAGGTATCAGATGGGGGCCCAGTGCGGTAGTCATCATAGCCCCCTGGCGGTCCATAGTGGTAGTTGCGGGGCACAGTGTGAGTGGGGTAGTCCATTGGCATGCCACCTCCGGGAACCTGCCTGTAGACCCGGTCCATGGGTGTAGTGTAACCCCCCATACCGGTCACTGAACCCCCACCGTCCAGAGAAAGGGTGTCTGACACGGAGGGGATGACTGTGCGAGTGGTGGTTGTCTTCACTACTTTCTTAACCTTAACAAGCAAAACAAAAGAAGCAGGAGACAAGATTCACCAGGTAACATTTATAAGTTTAAAATCGTAGCACTTTGCGATGCACACTTTCCACTTCACCCAGAGATACAAAGAATCCCATCTCTGTCAAGCTACACCTCTACAACACTAAATGGTTCTTCCTTCCTCATCATTTAGTGCTGTAAACGACAAACTTCGACAAACTCACCGTGGTTTCTGTTCGCCGCGTGGTCCCATCTTCAGTGGTCTCCACAGAGACAACAGGTGGCAACTCCTGGGGGTCTTCCTCCACCGTGTAGGTCTCCTGCACCACTTGGCCAGGCTCCATCCTGAACTGCACACCCACACACACATTTCAGAATTTAACTGAAACCAATGAGTTAGCTAAACTTTGAGCTAGCCTCAACCTGAACGATCTGTGATTTTCTCATGTTAGACAAAACAGAAGTTATTGTACTTTGCCCCAAACACCCCCCCCCGAGACGCATCATCTTAAGATATAGTTAATCTAGATGGCATTGCCATGGCCTCCAGCATCACCGTAAGCAATCTGAGATTTCTTTGATCACAACATGTACTTTAACTCTCACTTAAAACAAACATCAAGGACTGTCTTTTTCACTAACACTGCAAAATCAGGAACTAGTCCATACATTTGTTACTTCTAAGATGGATTATTGCAATTCCTTATTATCAGACTGTCCTGAACCATCCCTTAGTTATGCTGCTTTAAATAAAACTGAACTCCAATGTTGGTCTCACACGGCATGTCCTTGGGGTTAAACTTGTTAAGAATTTAACAACTGAAACAAAGAAGGTTCCAAAAGATGCTTACATGATGTGTCCCGTTGATGTAACCCTCGTTCAGTGTCAGCCTCTCTATGTCTGCATCACAAGGAATGCGACCGTTCTGCAGGGACGAAGAAATGCACATGAGGGGGATCCAACACACACTGCTTAGAATAAAAAGATGACTATGCATTGATGAACAAACAGACACACCACTGCCTGAGCAGTCGAACTTTTCCAGCTGGCCACAGTGACGAGCTTCTCATGTACAGTACCGTGACAATCAAATAAAAGAAAAACCAAAAGTAAAAGCAGCAACCAGTAATCTTGAAAATCACAAACACACAGAGGCTTTCATGTAATGCACTCACCAACCCTTAACAAAAACAATGAGGAAGCTGACTGAAACACACCCAACCATCTTATGAATGAACTGTGATGATGGAATTAACAAATGAAATTAGTGATGAAATGAATAATTCAGACAAATAGAGATCCACTTCTTTCTCTCATGCGTCGACACCACCAGTATTGCCTGCCCAGGCGTGGTAATGGGTGTGGTGCACTCCCCATTCCAGCAACAGGGGGAGCTCCATGCCTCTCTACTGCCATCTCTGCAGTTTTATCTCTAAGACTGTGTGGGTGAAGGGGGTACAGCTAGGGGGGCGTTGCTTAATAGTGATTCAGAGATGGGATACAGTGTCTCATGCAGAAATAACTTGCTGAAAAATGCCAATAGTTTTTGCGGGAGTGAAAACTAAATGAAGTGCCACTTTGCCCTAATCAAAAAAAACAAAGACACCGATTTAGCTAAATGACCACTCTTTAGTTCAGATAAGGAATCAGTCAGAGAGAATAGTAGAAAGTGCCGGGCAGATTTGAGCATGTGGGAACCTGCCAGTAAAGACTGAGGTCACGTTGTGCAGTCTGTGAGAGTGGCAGAGGCATGCCTTTCGGCTATGTAAACACACAAAGCAGCGATAAGAAGCGACACAGGCTATTCCTACTTTCACTATAACACACACACACACACACCCTAGCAATATTTCTGCCACTATCAGCCACAAGAATTACCTGGGACCAGGATGTGTCCTAGCAAGTGCTTGCCCACATGCAAGAGTGACAAACAAAAGAGGTAAAACAAGCGAGTGGGAGAGCCTCGTTGTTTATGAGAGTGTGTTTCAAAAGGTTGCCCTCAGGACCAATAGAGTTTGTTTGTGTGTTTACGCGTCATTTTACTGAAGCACACTAATGGCCGTGCGTGTCAATAAGGAAGCGAAAGAAAGAGCGCGTGGGTGGGTGTGCCTGCGTGAAGTCACTCAGCAGTCTCTAAACCAGGTAACTGACTCGAGGCATGATAAAGAGGGTGTGTAAGCAAACAGTAAAATACTTTAGATATGAAACACACTCATTCGCCTTTTCAGGGGGGTTTTTTAACCAAGAATTCAGAGCTGTTGAAACCGGTCTGACAGGCCCCTTGTCAGAGTTTGCCCCACTAAAAAAGCAGCAGAGGGACGTCTTTATTCTAGAAATAAAACACAACAAATGATAAATAAACCAGCGGGCTGACATACTATAGCTCCAGCAGGTAAACTCTTAATGAATATCACAACAAACAAAATGTCAAGCAAGACAATCGCTCTGCATGCAAACACCCATGGACAAGTCAAGACAAACACGATGGGTTTTACTGGGTTGTTAAGCTTGATTGGCGGAGGGATATGATGACAATGGGAGGACTATTATTTTATATGAGACATGGGCAGTTACTAAGGGACCAATGGAGGATGGAAGGGGGGTAGTGATGGAACAGTGGATAAGACACATGCCTTTGGTGTGAGAGACCCAGGTTCGAATCCACTGTGAGACACCTAGTTGCTCCAGAGGTGTGTGACCTCTTACATATATAGAAATTGTAAGTCGCTTTGGAAAAAAGCGTCAGCTAAATGAATAAATGAGTCATAAAATGCAGTGAGGAGAAACAGAGGGTGTTAACTACCTCCTCAGGACGGCTATATTGGAAGTTGCTACAGTTTACCGACTCAACTTCCAAAGTTCACATGCATTTAAAACCCACAGAGGAGGTACTTTTGCCCCAGGGGTTTGGTTTAGGATCTGCTGCCATCCAGCTGGTCCACACAGATGGGATGGGGTGACGATGGAGATGACACAGGATGAACTCGCTCGAATTAAGGATGAATCCGAGGGACTTTTCCATGGAAAATGTGCATGAGGGTGGGTGGAACAGGGGGCGGGGATTGTTCCGCGTTACCTGCATGTTGGGGAGGGGGCGGGGCAGGGTGCCGGCACACGACCTCCGCTCCTCCTCCAGAGCTCGGCTCAGCATCTCAAACTGCCTCTCCTGCTCCCGCACCGAGGCCAGCAGGGAGGCCGTACTCGCACACTGCTCCATTCACACGCTGAGAGCAGAGCACAGGACAGGACAGGACAGGACAGGGTCAACACCAGAGAGAAGAAGATATTCAACCAACACCGGGAATTCATCAAAGAACAGACAAACAGCTACGGCTGAATCACCCAAGTAACACTGATATAATAGCAGAGGGGCCCTTACACTGTGAATCTGTGAATGCACACAGTGTAGTGCTAATGAAGTAGCAGGAGCTGACGCAAGAAGATAATTGAGGGAAGAGAGAGAAGTTGGGGGATAAAGAAGAGAGAATGTGAGTATAGAAGGAACAGGAGTGCGGAAAAACACCAGGTGTAAAGAAAGAGCTGAGAATTTGAGTGATTTGAAGTGATTATTCAGTTCACGTTGAAGGTGGGACCAGCATCAGCAGAGCAGGGGTGGAAGCAAGCTACTGTCACTTTTTCAGTGCGTTTCTTCACCTTCTGCTATGTCGGGTTAAAAATAGGAAGAAAGTGAGATACATGGCGAGAGACAAAAACAGCACGTTTTCAGCTGCAGCGTGTGGAGCTTGTTAGCGCTTGTTCACGGCCAAGGATGCAGAGACAGTGTGAGAGCATTCAGAGGCGCTATGAAGAGACAGTATCACACCGTCAAGTTACACCCAACTCAAAAAGCCAGGTGTTTCAATTTGAGAGGGTGTTCTGTACACAGCAGGCAAAGAGATGGCTCGCTCTCCCTCGCTTAATGCTATACTTACAAGACTCTGCAAGTTATCATATGGATGGTATTTCATTTGCATGCTATCCTTTACAATTTACTGTAAGCATTTCTTTACTGTTATTATCTCTACAAACTCACAGAAATAAATTTAAAATCGCAGGTTCAGTCAAATACTGGGCTGGTTGTTTACCGTTTTTGTTGTGCTTAAGTGTTTTAATCAATGATCAACAACTGTGATCAAAGTTATTAATCACTGGTTCAGTGTGCACTCCTGCCAATATTTTCCAAATTTTCAGCGATGAGTCTGTTTTACTGTCACTTTGCTAAAAGAAATTTAATATTCAGTGCTTTATTAAGGGCACAACTTTAACTACAAAGCAAACTTTACGTCCATGTGGTTTATAAATCACACTTTGGTGATCTCATCATTTAAATTTAATCTTTTAACATTAAGTTGATATATTCTTTCCCTCCGCAGTACTTACAAATACATTTTCAAAAGTTGGTCAAACCGGTCCGCTCCTTCATTCTGGATTTACTGACATGGCTGGTTTAATGATTAGTCTAATTAAAAGTGCTTGACACAAGACATCTCAAGCTACACAACAAACTACAAAATGCATTTCAAAGTAAGCAGCTGAATTACATACATACCTGTTGATTATGGAAACGGGTATATAGCATGACAATTACCAATGATCTATTGTCCAGGAACTACAATACAAAAAAGAAAAGAAGCAGAAATGGGTTTTTAAAATTGTCAACCTGGATACTGCAGCCTTAAGATACGCCTCAGATGACCTAAGCCTAAATTACAGTGACATGGTAACAAGTGAAAGTCACTTCAGCCCAAACTAAGACAATGACAAAGCCCTTTTTCTCCGACTTCCTCAAAAAGGGACTCTGCTGAGGGAGGAATGAGGAATCTGCGGAAGATTCCTTCAACAGTGTCTGTCTAATAACGGGATGACATGAGGGTGGCTCATCTCCAAGCCTGGGTAAAAACCATTTTCTACTTCAAAAGTTCACTGACTCGTGTGAATCAAATCTGCTCTCAATCTGCACACACAGGACTGACTGAGTGAACAAAAGACTCTTGTATGAAGCTTAAGTGCGCACACACACCAGCATGAGTATGCGCGTGCATCCGTGCGAGGGCGCATGATTGTGTATGTGGTTCAGAGACTATATAAAAAGGTGGCAATGGTGTGAGGCCGACGTTGGTAATATCGTTGAATACTCAGAGCAGTGTAGGAAAGTGAATGTTGCCCCTTTTCTTTGCATTTGTGTGTGTGTGGGGGGGGGGAGACACATTTGTGGATAGAAACATGTCTCACACACACAAAAACACTGCCATTGTCATACATTCCACAGTGAGATTTAGCATGTCATATCCTGCCTCAGCTGTTGGAAGCTTTCCTAATAAGGGAGCCCTTCACTCGTTCATTGTGATGCACTCATCCGTCTCTCACACTAACATTTTTTCTTCCCAGCCAAACACGTCAATCCTGGAAAGAGAGAGGATACCGTCTCTCTCTCTCGCTCTCTGACCACAAACAACAACAAAGTGCTTCTTTAGTGGATAACGCTCACAAATGTAAGGATGGTTTGAAATGATATCAAGTTCGTGTCTACGCAGGCCCTGTGTGAAGCTAATGAAATTTGAATAGTTTCCTCAACAATGACAGATCTTTGCTGAGATCTCAAACACAAAAAAGGAAACGGGTAACTAAAAGGTGGCAGCAAGCTACAAATACATGTTTGTTGTGTCATAAAGGTTGCGTACAGCAGCCGTCAAGTTTTACATTAGGGACCAAGAATTCATCCGTCTGACACGATACATCAAATACGACAACATACCACAGTCTAAACGGCAACACTTTTTTGAGAGCATGGAGGAAGGCGGTCCTCTTATGCCTTCCTACAGCAGACAGACAAACCTACACAACGTCTGAAGCTACGCGAGTCCCACAACTAACATTCTCGTGGCTGGGAGTAGTTGCTTATGAGAGTTTTAAATGGCTCTAGCCACTTAAAGCCTCGGCATTAGTCATTAATCTATTGTAAGGTCATTAGCAGCAGCACTAAATTGTATCTGCTAATGGGATAGCCCTGGAATTACAGCACTAAGCCACTTATCATACTGAGCCAACACACAACACAGATGTACACACACTATCCACTACCCACTGAAAACATTGTGTAGTACACACACACAGCCAGTTTGTTGGTCTATCACCCAGTGAACAGTGAGTATTGTGACTACAGTGTATTCCCTCATTATCATATGTTATCACAACCACCAGGGACAGAGTCACTGGTGGTTGTGGCAGCCTGACATGCTTTCTGTTCCAGTCCACCCCCCCACACATACACACACACACACAGATGAGGTGAAGCTATGGTAAAATGCTGTTGTGGCTTGGCCAAGCGCTCCGCTGACTCAGCCTCATTTGAATGGTCACACAGAGATTTGGCCTCTGTGTGTGTTGTGTGTTAGCCTTGGCCCACATCCAACCACTACCGCCTTTGCCATCCTCACTTTAAACCATGAACCCCCCCCCCCCTTTTCTCCTATGTGGCCCACAGTGTGGTAGCTGCAGAGAGATTACACATGCACACACACGCCCTCATTCACTCGTGCAAACTTTTCATGGAAGTTCTCCTAAGGCCAGCTGTCCGATATACAGATGCCAACTTACTACTCTTAGTGGGGAATGAAACGCGCAGGGAACTGTAAAGCTGATGACACGGGGCAACTCTGAGCAATGTTGCGGGGCAAGTCCAACTATGTCTGAATCGATAGCGGCGGGCCAGGGTGGCGGGTCAGCGGGGGTAGGGATTACGGTAGTCATCCTTACTCATTACCATTGACGGCAACATTGCTCATCATCTTAACTCAGAGAGAGTTACAGCTGCCTACAAAGAGAGATATACGGAAATAATATTGATATGAGGCTGGATGTCATCTGGGATTTTGATTTGACCAATCAACTAATTGTTTTGCTGTGTGAAATAAACAATGAACGCCACTATCTGCTTGGACGATACACCCCATTATTAACAGATTTGACCGGAGTAACAATCTCCTCCGCAAAAGAGTTTCACAAAAAGAGCAGAAGTCTATTTCACACAACAATCTCAGGCACGTCAAACTCTATCCAAGTGACACAGAAACACAGACTGAGTGGGCACACTGATGGTGTTGGTCGGCGTTTGCCTGGGCAGTAAGCAAGCAGCTTCCGTCTTCACTTCAACTTCAGTCAATAATATGTTCATGTTCTTTGAGAAGTGTTACATAAAATATTTCTAAAATACATTTAAAACTTGACTGTTAACAATCCTAGAAAACAAACGTTGAGCAGTCGGCAAAGATTTCCCACTGGAGACTTTACACAGTTTGACCACAGTTAAACAAGGAAGTTGGTTTAATTGCTGCAGCGAGGACCATAAAAGTGTTTACTGACACTCAACCTTTCCAAGAAGTTAACCACCAGCACTGAAGGGCGGTACTGTACAGCAGTCCCGCTTCACTGCTTTCAGAATCTGTGCACTTTGATTTCACTATCAGACACCTCACATGTCCTCCCCTGCATCGAAAGCCAAATGACGTGCTGGCCGTTCAAATAAAAACACAGACTGCAGGTGTAACTGTTGGCTGTAGAGACGAAGAAAGAGACAGAGAGAGAGAAGACAGACACAGGGAGGAGGAGCAAATAAAAGAAAACCCCAGCTTCTGTGTGTCAGAGGGACACACCCATGAAAGCCCGTCATTACAGAGGCTCACAAATGATAGCCCTGGCTAAAGCAATACGACTCCAGCCCCCACAGACAACATGGCTAGGAGCAAATTCTAGGAAGAAAAAGAAATGTCCAACTTGTGATTTTCTTGGCCCCTCCTTTTCACATCTTACAGAAGGGGGCATTTCTGAGAAAACCGCATGTCCAAACTTGCTCACAATCTTTTCCATCTCTGTTTCAGCAGGTCAAAGCAGACATGCCTATAGGGTATTTAGAGGAATATGACAGGCATGTCCGTGCTGCACTGAAACACACAAGTCAGCTGACTGTAGCATCTCAAATTAACAATTTTGTTACTTCGGACAAGCAGTCAACCATGACTCAGGTTGGTCTGTATGTTGTTTACGTGCATTGATTTTTAATGTCACACACAAACCACCACAAACTGAAAGTATCAAGTCTACTCCCAAGAGTCACCCACTGAAGCAGATTTAACCAGATCCCTCTGACTAATCCAGCATAAATTCCCACGAAAAGACCTGTAAATTGAGATGGTGTCTCACTCACTGTGATGCAAGCCTCTATAATATATAATGGAGCCGGCCAACGCCAGCCACCTTACCACACCCCACAGAAACAGACCCACACAACTGGTTCTAACTATTGTGTTTTGCAGCGCCAACACCGCCGGTCCTGCCTCCCTCCCCCTACCTGGCAGACCGCATCAAAAGACAGCTGCGGCTGAAGAATTAAACAGTTTCAACACTTTCAAGGCACTAAAATCAAAAAGGCAGTCGGCAACAAAAGACAGACGCCATGCGAGCATAGTCACCTGAAAGCAGCTTCACTGTCCGCGGAGTGGGCGGCTCAGGTACAATACATAACAGAAAACTGATAAGTAAGCCGAGACTGGACTTTGACTCCTGACTTGCGGTCAGTGACGCGTCGGGCCACTTCCGTGTCCTCTCACCTGTCCTGAATACTCCCCAGCTCGGGGGAAAACTAAAAAAAAAGCCCATTAAAATCTGTGTTTAAAGGCAGCGAACAGAAAAGACTCGACGTGTAACGTTAATGTTATAACGTTAACAGTAACCCCCTCATAACCACCCAGACCATTCATGTAATAAACTGCTGCTAGCTAGTTAACGTCACGTTAGCTGGATATTTTATATTTTTAGCCATCTTGGTATCAACCAGTTTTAACTGCATTCACGAGTTTTGTTAAACTTTTCCCGAGTCTCACTCTGGATAAGTTATTCATCAAGCCAACGAAAGGAATAACACCGATGCTAGCTAAATTAGCTTGCGCTGTGGTAGCTAGGCTGCTAACGCTGCGTTTACAACAAGTTCAGCAAATTAAAGGTCACCTCTCTTCCCACACACACACAACAAACCCCAACCAGCTGTACCGAACACAAAGCACCAACAAGAGAGGCCATTACCGATTCCGGGGACTGTTAGGCTTGTTTTTCAAAGTCCATAAGTGTTTGCGAGATGGATTCAGGCCTAGCCGAGTGCTGCTGCTGCTGCTGCTGCACTGACGGTCCAAACCTCGACCCGCAGGCTCTGATAAGAAGTGAGTTAAGACAACAAAAACACGTCGGCGTGGTCGACCTCACATCTCAACACATAAACTGTCCACCGCAGGGCGACAGCTCTCGCAATGAAGACGGAGAAAACACCCACCTTTGCGATTTCCTCTCCTCCTTCGCTTGTTGTTCACTTGTCTCTGCGCTTCCTCTCCGCTGGGGGGAAGAGGTGGGAGCGAGCAGACTGGAGCAGGACGGGCAGGACGAGGGGCGTTTTTAAAATACAGGTTCACAATATTTACTTTTTCATAAGTGACTAACTCATTTAGTCAGATGTTGATAGGCTACATCGCTTTTACTAAGAAACTATGATATAACATTTATCGAGGATTGTGTGTGGCTTTTGATTAACGTCAAAATGATTAAAATCATTATTTATTTATTTTAAAATTAGATCGTTTAGTTTTATATAATTTATCTTCTTCCAAAAAAAAAACCAAAGATTATTTTTAGAGATACTTTCTCATTTCGCGGTGCGTATAATTAATTAGGACTATTTTCCCGCTTCCAGCATTATGCCCTATTTTCAGTTTCTAGACATTATACTGCAGAACACCTCATGCTATTTTTGTTTCGAACATGGAAATTCCCACTAAAATGAATGAGCTCCGATATTGCCATCATGTGGTCAAGGCAGAGTTATTACAGAGCAGAATAATAGCCAGTTTATTTTGGATGCAGTGCCTACGTGGTGGAAAGAAGGCTACAATTACTCAAAAACATTTAAAGCACCTGCAGTTTATGCTATATGTTTTAGACAAATATATTGTTCCAGCACATGACATTTGACAGCTGTAGAATTGATAGGATATTTCGGTTGGCAGCAAATCCTCACATTTGAGGAGTTGAAACCAGCCAATGCTGTGCATGTTTGCTTAAAAAGTGATTTAAATATTAATCCCTCATCAAAGTAGTTGCTGATTAATTTTTTGTGGATTGTGGATTGACCAATCAACTGATGTTTCGGCTCCAAACATGAGCTCCATAATATTAATAATAATAATAATAATAATAATAGTTATGCACATTTCAAAATATATAAAATAAACAAAGAGAAAATACATGAATAATAGTTGAAAAACATGAAATACAGAATGCATAAAAGCCTAAGGGAGGCCATATAAATAACAATTAGCAGCAGGTGCAGTGTAACATTATTCAAGGCCTAACAAATAATAATAATAATAATCAGTAATAATAAGCCAACAATTTATATATTCTAAAAAGGGGCATTTTGCATAATGAGTAGCCTACTTTTGTTATTTTAATTATATTTTGAGGATAAAACTAATTTACTTTTACAAGAATTTGGCTTATCTGAACTTTCAAATCCAAGCAGACACACTGAAAGTGGTTTTGAGCAGAAAAAGTGTTTTTTATAAACAATATGTATTGTTGGAAAACTCATCTGTATCACTACAATAGACCCATAAGAATCTCTGTGATTATGTGTACAGACTAAAAAATATATATTTTTTTGTTCTTCTTAAAGTTAAAATCTGAATGCAGAACTTTTACTTGTACTGCAGTCTTTTACACTGCAGCGTTACTACTTTCATGTAAGTAAAATAGACTGTCTCAGTACTTCAGCCACTAACTACTGCAGTGCACATTAATTGACACGCCCACAAACAATATCAATGTAACTGTATTGCAGACAAAGCAGACCAAAACAATGGCATTGTCTTGTTTTAGAAGACCGGATTTAATTGTTCTGTAGTCCCACAAACGGCCAGTAAGTAGCGCCACAGCTTGCTGTAGCTAAACAGATGCAGGGTTCAACTGCCTCTGCAGTCAGCACACATACAGTCCCCTCCAAAAGTACTGGAACGGTAAGGCAAATTCCTTTGTTTTTGTTGTTCACTGAAGACATTTGGGTTTAAGATCAAAAGATGAGTATGAGACAGTTCAGAATTTCAGCATTTATTTACTGGTATTCACATCTAGATGTGGGCTGCAAACTTTTCAGTTTAGTTTAGAGTAAGATTCGGTATTGCTGAAGTAGGTAAATTTTATGAGTAGGCCTAATGTGACATTACCCACCACATGAGTCGGGGTCATCACTCTTCAATCCTCAGGAATCTTGTTCAGTCCAGCAGCCAAACTCACAATTTTAAAGCATGTATAGATGAAAAGCCATGTCAATAATTATGATCAGCCATGAATATGGTTGATCTCGCTTGCCAATGTCCAAACATCTTAGCCTAAATCAGGAGACCAAACCTAACCAAGTATCTGGGAATGTTCCCCCCAGGTAATGTGTGTCATCCCAGAGACTGTTTTCTTGCATTCCAGTGAATTTATGGAGTAATTTTGTTGTTTAAATGCAAGAGCATAGGTTTTGCTTCAACACTGGAGGGGTGACATATTAAGTGGGGGCTCTAGGAGTCCTCCCCCTGAAGATTTTGAACATTAAACAGCTAATTTCCTGCATTCTGGTGAAATTTCCTGCACCAATTTTTGCCTTTTTCTGTATCAATTTATGGTGGAAATGTGTTTATTGATATAAAGGGAAACACAAAATTCAGGCAGCAGGTGACAATTCAAATTATAAAAACACAGTTTGGCGCTTCAAGCAGAGACATCTAAATAGCAGTAGTAATGATAATTGTGTGAAAGGAAAGCATAGAGCGGCAGGTCGGATGTGTCTAGTGCTCGCATCCAGTTCCCCTGCTTCAACGCAACTTGTAGGACCATTAGATGGAGTAGGTGACAGGCCTAGTCCCATGTCTAGGGACTGTGCTGTTTATGTATCTAAAGAGAAAAAAGTGTCCTGTTTTTAATAAGGGATTCTGTGCTGAGTTTTATGAGTGGTTGGATGAAATAAACTCAGTTTTGGGTTATCACAATTTTGAGGGTACGAGTTTAAGGGTCTCAGCTAGAAATGAGGGACCCTACAGGAGATATGTGGGCAACCCCATCCCCTGAACAGGTTGCAATATTTTTTAATAGGAGGAAGTCGGAAGGAGAGTTACGTGACCAATGTTCGGAGAATGTTTGTAATTTAAACTCCAAAGTGAGCTAAAAAGAGTCATTTGGCAGACTAAAGAGGCACAGATGTGGGAAGATGGTGACACTGGGGGTGGTCAGAGTCGACTTCTAGCAAGCTTGCGTGGAATGGTAACGGTTGAATCCAATGTGGTCACAGCTGCTGTGCTTCTTGAGTCCGACCCAGTTATGGTGGAAATTCTGTAAACTTTAAAGCAGCAGAAAGCCCTTGTCGAGAGCGTGTTGTAGGAACAGCAGGCCCAAACTGCTGACGTGGCACAAAAGTGTCTGAGTTATCTGGCATGAAGTTCGGGGGAACTTTTGATGCTCAGCCTGTATTGTATGTTTTAAATGTCGGGTAGCTGGCCACATTGCGCTGCAGTGTCGTGAGTGGCGATTACCCGAAGAACAGCTCCTGTATCGCAGGCTAAAGTCTCCCACAATAGGGGGGCACATGTAACTGAGCAGCAGGGAACTTTTAGATGTTTTGTTTGGTGATGTAAATGTTGGATGCCTCCTTATTTTAATAATTTTGAGGCTTGGACTGACAAAACAAGCATTGTGAAGGTGTTGCTTTGGACAAATTACAGTCAATCAGTAAAATCCTGCTTTACATGAGTACATGAGTACAAAAAATCTAATGATATAATAGGCTATGTAATAGTACAGCAGTCACAAGGGACATTTTTCAATCTGCAATGAGTTCTTTGCTTTACATTGAGTACATTTTCGTGATTATATTTACATAATTTTAACTTAAGTAACATTTTCAATGCAGTTCTTTTACATGTAACAATTAATCGAAATATTATCAAAATCGCAAAATGGCCAAATGCAATATCCATTAACCCAACCCAACAATTATAAATTAAGCATTGTGGCCTACACATCATATTCTTCAGATGTAAGGGAAGATACTTGTTTGGTACAGACCTCAGTAAAAATCACATCATCATCACTTCTATACTTTCCTTCAGTGAAAATGAAATGCAAAAATGACCATTCCCTCTGAAATCGTGACTCATATCGCGATCTCAATATCCGTCAAAATTATCTCAATACGATTTTATTTTTGCATAATGTTCAGCCCTAGAATATGCTGGTGTCACATCAGCTGGGTGGAGTTGATTTGTGCCGCGAGTCGATGAGTTTTACGTTTGTTTTTCAGTGAGTTAGAAAATTGTTGTGTGGCGTAAATGCACGTGAAAATGATCAACTGTGTGAGTCTCATGATCTTTGCATGAGAGTTGGCAGCTCTGCCAACCACCTGTCATGTTTTAATGCATTTTTACCTTTATTATAAACAGTCTATGATGTTTCACAGAAGATCATTAACAAACAACAGTTAACAACAAACAGCACAGAGTGTAAAATGATGCTCTGACAATTTTGCCATGAGCTGATCTAGGTCTACATCTATCATGTCAAGGGTTTTTTTACTTCCAATCAAAGCTTTCCGTGTAATATAGAAAGTGCTGGTCATGTATTTAGTCAGATGATGTCACACCTTGTTTGTGTAAACGTTAAGGCAACTCTCCATAAGCTGATCAATTCATATTTTCATTTAGGTTTATCTATCACATTTATCATTTATTTTGGAAATGATATTTTGGAATGTTTTCATAAATACTTCCACTTTACTCCAGTTTTGATGAAACATCCTGTCAGCTGGGTGTGTGCCTCAGCTACAGCGCACAGGGTGAGTAAAGAAGAAAGTGTAACATGTAGCAGAGAAGAGTGATACTGGACAGAGCAACAAAATTCAACTGATTATTAGGGAACAGGCCACCTAACAAGTCCTAGTTGGTCCATGGAGTTTGGTATTAAGTTTGAAGAAGCAAGAGGCCAATGGAAAACAAATCTTGATCTCAGGTCGACAGAAATGGAGATGTCCGGGTACATTTATGACAATGATCCTGGTGAACAAAAGCAGGTGGAAAAAATAGCCTTCAACACAACTGGAGAGAGTGATGAGGTGGAGGAGAGGACAGTGGTTATTTATAAAAGCTCAGACTTCTACGGGGCTCAGAAAACTGTAACGCGGAGCGCAGTGCATCAGAAAGCAGGTGAGAAACG